CAAAATGGTGGGCTACCCTGAGTGATATTGCAGGACAAAGTTCCAACTTTTTGGCGTATAATGGCAATGAATGAGAAACGTGCAATGATATGATGGGAAATTGATTAGATATACTAGTGGACATGACTGCTCCTGGGTCACCTGGTTTGTTCTATCATTCTGATTCCACACTCCTCACAGTAGAAAAGAAAGATTAGGCCTAAGGGTAAAAGAATATTCATACCAAAAAGACCCAAAACCCAAGTCAACTGCAAATACTCTACATAATTGCTTTTTTATGCTTGCCTTTCACTAATTCGATGCAATTCACTAAGAACCACCAAGTCTAAGTGGCTCGAGCATCTTAAAATCCTACAATTTGATATTCGATAGCATTTTATTATATGTATAATATAATGTCCTCTCAGACATGGCCTTATCTCATGAACAGTTCCGAATTATTAAATTCTAGACATTGGAATAACCAATTGGTTACATGACAAACAACTTTTTCCATAAATTTGAAAGTTACAGTTTTGTGTAATATCCAGTTAGAACACAAGACAAAGTCTTTCGTCACTGCCACAAAACTTTATCCCATTGCATTTCTCTCTTGACTCTTGAGAGTTGAGACTGAAATGTAATGTACCAGCTTTATAAAATGGTGGTTTATGATCTAACAGCTCCAAAATGTGTACATGGTGACTAGTGAATTTTAACTATTTATACTATACAGGACTGTTTGATATGCTTCAAGCATCAAACAAAACGATTGTTTGAATCAAGTAAGATGCCAAATGCAATAAAACAAAAGTAGCAAGAAACAAAGCACACTCACCATAGTTATCTTTTGGTTTCAATGATGTTGGCTATGGGACATTTATAAGTCATTTTTATAATAGTTGCCTTCGTTGTCATTTATGTTCACCAAAACTTTTACAGTTTTGTTAACTTCATGTATTAAGGTTGATTTTAATTATATAAAAATAATTTTTTTTATGTTAAAATAACATTTTTATATTTTTTTGTGTAATTAACAATTGTTTAAAAAATAGAAGTTTATAATTTTTATTTTTACAAGGTTGATGCTGTCTTGAAAATTCATTCTTCGTTTCTAATTTTGTTGTTTTGATGTGATTTTTTATTTAAAAATATGTTTAGTTTAAGTTTTATTTTAATTTAAAATTTTGTTATGTGTGACTAAATTTATAATTAGAATTACGGTAAATTTTGTATTTTTTTACTCTTTAATTGCTATTAAGACCTGATCAACTTTATAACTATTTAAGATAGTTGTGTGATAATAAGTTTGTTAATTAAACAAATGATCAACTTTATAACAATTGTTTTAGGTGCTGCCTTGAGCTGTGTCATGATGACAGTAGTAAAGTATTATACGAAAGGGATAAAAAGGTTATGTCAAAAGAGACATTCTTACTTGGATATTCTCTATGTATATAAACAAGTCATGTATATTTAAAAAAAAAACTGATAAGACTGTGTAAAAAGAATAAAAGACATGAAAAAATGTAAATGAATAATATTTATCTAAAAAAGGATAAAGAAACAGTTGTATCTTTTGACTTAGTAAGCTGATCTCTAATGAGAGTTATTTTTGAAATTACAGCATTAAAAGTATTTTTTAAGGCAATTAATTACCTGTCATCTGATATTGCTTTAATTATGTCACATAAGAGGAACACTTTGTCCAACAAATGCATTTTCCTTTTTTGAATTCAAGAGCAACAATGACTTTGTCCAACAATTAGTTCAGATAAAGTTGCTCCTAAGCAAGTTATATCCGTGCCAACTATCTTATCTTATCCTTCCCTCATTATGTCTATATTAGTTAAACTATATAAAAAGTGCATTTGGCCCACATTTTTTTTATAACACATTGCTTCTTTGAGCAGCTATATCTACACGTGAAATCATTCTTTGTACAAAACCAAGATAAGCAACTTCACAAGTTTCCACGTTAAAATTACTCTAAAATGAATATATATATATATATATATATATATATATATATATATATATATATATATATGTAAGAACTAAACTAAGACTGTAAAATAAAACCTTTATTGCTAACCATGGCCTTGGGGCAATTATTAATATTATTAATACGTTTTCATGTTAAATTCTAGGAATTTTTTATATATTACTTTTAGGACAGTAAATAACAAATGTGAAAGTAAACTAATTTCAATATGTTATCATTGTACGTAAAAAAATAAGAGGTTTCCCCCAAAATGGAGAAAAACAAAACAGTAATATCCCAAACCCAATGGCACTTACACGTACTTTTGGTGTTAGCAAGCCATCCTCGAAGCAACCAAGTGGAGCTGCGTTCATTTCGTAACGAATTGGATTGTTATCCCACTTGGGAATCAAAATCCTATTTCAAACTCTTGCCCTGCTATCATGAAAGAGTTTTTTTTTAAATGAACTATCATAGATAATTAAATTATTTAATGTGCACACGAACACGCATATTGTTGTTGAATTTTTGTAATTCTTATTGTAAATATTTTGAGATTATATACTTGTTTGTCTATTTAAAGGTTTAAGTTTATTAGTTATATTATACAAATTATAAGTTTGTTAGCTTATTTAAAATAATGCAAAAATAAAATTTTAGCAGACTTTAAAGTTATATTAATTTTTTAAATGGGTTAAATTAGATGTTACAAAAGGGTATCCTATGTCAAGAGAAATGGTTAGATTCGAGTTTTGAATTTATAAAGCATGTCAATCTAAAATCTTATAAAATATGACATTTCTTAGCTTATTTCTATCCTCATTTATATCATGGACAATTTTCTTTAAAGTGCCTTGAGACTTGAACTATGAACAATATAAAGACACATTATATTATTTTAAATTTTGATATTAAAGAAAAGTAATAATAAATTACATTTTATATTATGGTTTATTTACCGGACATAATATAATAAAATATGAGAATCAAACAAGAGTATAATATGAAAAGAATATGATAAACTAATATTTTGTTTTATTGTGATGCATACTAAAATAATTATATAAATATATCATGTTATCCAATCATATCTATTTCTGACCTATACTGTACATTTTTCTTTTTACAATGGACAAATCCACTGTGAATTGAAAAGTTGAGGTAGCCCATAACCATGTAGGACTAGCCCCGTAAGAGTTTCCATTGGACTTAGGCATTAGCGAGTTATGGTTCCATGGGCTCCCGTTTCTCAACGGGCTTCTTTTTTTGCATTATTCCTTCAAAATATATAATTTAAAATTAATTAATGAAATTTAAAAAGGTTTTTAAAATATTATTAGTAATATAAAATATGTAATATAAATTGGGTGATAAATTTAGAAAAACAAGAAAATTACTCTAATTAATAAAATATTAGTTTAATGAATACTTACATCCGTTTTTTAAATCCTTAATATTAATTGGATAAATTGAGTATTGATCAAATCCTTTTGCACAAATACATACACGTCGTATAAACGTGTATATACTCGCACATTGAAACATGATCAAATGTCACAATACGTCAAAGTTAATAAAATAAAATTTATAATAACCTTGTTTTTATAAACCTTTTTAATTAACGTTTGTATACAGATAAGATTCAAAAACCAGTAAAACACTAGAATGAAAAATAGATAAACATTAACTTTATAGTAAAATAATTTTCAACTGTTATCGTTATTATAAAAATTCATGCTCGATGAAGGTACATCAAATACCAATATAGACAAAAGTAGGATAAAAATTAAACATACAATTAATGTACATTAAAATGTATTTTCTATGTTGGTATAAGCATTCCTGCTCAATAAAAATGCATCAATTATCAACTTTAATGTGTATATTTCTTGATTCTTCATTGTTTTTATACTTAAAATTTAAATTTGTGGAAGAGTTTTTTAAAATTATTAAATAAAGAGAAATATAAAAAAATTAATTTGATAAGTTAGAAAAATGTTATTATATGCATATACATGTATATTCATATATATATGTATATTCATATTTAACAGAGAGTATATATATATATATAGTATTTATTGTATTTATTACTTATTTTAAAATTTTATTGCATATAATATTCTAAATTTTCTACACTCTTTATGGATTTAAAAAAAATATAAGTTAAAAGAAGTAATAAATTACAGAAAGTTTTTTAAAAACACATGTATTATTCTCAATAATTACTGTTATAATTTAAGAAGCAAAATATTTTAAAAGACAATAAGTTATGGAAAATTATACCGTACGTGCTTAAAGGTAGACTAGCATTGTGTTTAGGTAAATAATCCAATTAAATACTTATTTAACAATATTTTATATAATTTTTGAACAAATTTGTGAATATAATAAACTATTTTACAAGCTTTTTATAAATACTTCAGATACACCCTAATTTCCTATACTTTTTATACATACAATGAAATTTTAGGAGAATTACATATATTTATTTTTTAGTCCTGTATTGTGTTGAACTTGTGCAGTTATATCATATTACGTAAATTTAAATAGAAAGAGTAATAAATAATTAAACATAAAAAACTAATTCATTTTAGTTCATTGGTTTTGTTTCATTTTCTTTAATTATTAAAATTTTATTTAATACTTTAAAAAATTATAAAATTTATTTATAAATTACTTTTAAATTTTTAATTGTAATTTTTAAAAATTGATACAAATAAAAAAAATAATTTCAGTGATGTATAGTAAATTAAAAGAATATTTTGTATAAATAATCATTATCATTAATCTTATGTTATTAAATAGTGAGAATACTAATTGATTTAAAAAATATATATTTTAAATTTTTAAAAAAATATACAATGCCTCTCAATCTTATGGCTTTTAGAGCAAACACCTGATAAAAAGTGGCTTAAAATGGCCATTCTTTCTATGCACAAGAAGTAAAAGTGGGGGCCCAATTATTTACTCTGGGCCGAGGAGTAGAAATGGCCCGTTGGCACTTCTAAGAGCTTAGGTCACACTGCAAAGGTGAAGAGAGAATTCTTCGGCAACGTTCTCCGTCGTTCTCTGCCCTCCATCGTCGACGCCGGTGCTGTTTCTTTCCGCGTGATTCTCGAAGGTTTGGAACACACTCAGATCTTGCCACTGCAATTTTCACTTTTTCTTTTATTCTTTTCTTTATTTGTTTATTTCAATTTTATAACCACAACGACTCGCCTGGAACAAGTTCAGTCACAGGATTTATCATCAACAGTTTTTGCTTTGTAGTTGTATTCTTATATTAATTAATAAACAACGTTAAACTGATACGGCTTTGGTGTGCCATTGTTTCATACTTGTGTCAGTTTTCAATGGCATCTTCTAAGAGGTCGAATGATAGGAATGCAGTGGAACCAAATGGGAAAGGGAAACGCCAAAAGCCTTCAGGTGGTTTTTCACCGTTGGATGTTTCTCCTGGTAGCCTTGTATTCCGTTTGCTCTGTCCTGTTTCTAGAATTGGTGGTGTTATTGGTAAAGGCGGTGCAATCATATCACAAATTCGTCAAGATACTGGTGTGAAGGTTAAGATTGAGGAACCTGTTCCTGGGTGTGATGAAAGGGTTATCACTATCTCAGGTTCTGATAAAGAGGCCGAAGAAGATGCTGCTGAGCAGGGAAGGGAGGTTAATGATGAAGAGGCTGGAAGCGAGGGGAAGGATGAGGAAGCGAATGATCGTGGTGGTGGCGATGGTAATGAAGATAAAGATTCTGTTCCTCCTGTTGAAGACTCACGGTGTGAGAAGGGAAATTCGTCGATTCGGAAGGCTATATCACTAGTTTTTGAGAGGATGGTTGAGGGAGTAGAGGAGGCAACTGAAGGGGATGAAGAAAGTAATAATAAACCTTCTTCCTTTGTTCTTAGATTACTTGTTCTTTCTAATCAAGTTGGCTGCCTTTTGGGAAAGGGTGGCAGTGTGATAAAGAAGATGTCAGCTGACAGTGGAGCGCAGATTCGTATCCTCCCTAGAGACAAACTTCCCGTGTGCGCATCAGCTTCTGATGAGATAGTTCAGGTAAGTGTGTATGTATGACACTGTCTGAACCAAAAATATAAGGGGTGCATGTTTTCTTTAAATTACTGTTAGGAGTTTTATTTGATGTAGCAATTGTCTGGCTAGGATGTTTGCTTTGTCAAGATTTTATTACCTGTCGGAACACAGAAGTTAATTCCATTGCTGCTAAACGTGTGACATATAACGCCAAAGTGCTATGTTGCTGCATGTTGCTCAGTTTTAGACGGTTAGAGCTGTTCATGTTGTTACCTTGTTTCAACATTATTTTTCGTGTGTATGCTATGATGTAGATCACAGGGGGTGTAGAAGTTGTCCGGAAGGCTCTTCAATCTGTCTCTCAACAGCTTTTGGAAAATCCGCCTCGGGATCCTGAATCCCTTTCTGCCCATTTTTCTGGGCCGTCATCTCATTCATTTGGTCAATTCCCACCACACAACCGTTCATTTGCTGCCCAAGGAGCATCTCTTGCTCCTGGGCCCCATGACATTTCTGTTTTTCATTCTGCTCCTCCTTTGATTCCCATTCCTAAATTTCATGAAGGTGCCATCCGTGGTCGCATGAGGCCTTCCCAGGAAATGCTTACTTTTCGTTTATTGTGTCCTTCTGAGAGGGTAGGGAATCTAATTGGTAAAGGTGGGGCAATCATAAAGACCGTGCAGCAAGAGACAGCTAGTGAAATCAAAGTTCTAGAAGGCACTCCGGATTCAGAGGACTGTGTTATTGTCATATCTGGTCCAGCGGTATGTGTAGGTTTCGCATTTTATCATCTGAGCTATTGTTATGGAGCCACATTTGTTTTCTACTGATGTTGGATTAATATTTGCAGCACCCAGATGATAGGATATCTCCTGTGCAAGATGCTGTATTTCGTGTGCTAACTAGAATAGCCAAAGCAATACCTGATATCAAAGAGCATAGTATGTTAGCAAGGTTTCTTGTTTCTTCCAATCAAACCGGTTGTCTCCTTGGCAAGGGTGGTTCCATCATAACAGAAATGAGGAAGTTATCGGGGGCTCATATTCGTATATTAGCAAAGGATAAGGTTCCAAAATATGCTTCAGAAGATGAAGAAGTAATTCAGGTGCAATTTCTACCAAGTTTTATATTGGTGTAAATTTAAAATCTTCCATTTTATCCCATATGCTAGGAAGCACAGACACAACATAAACATGATGACAAAACATTTTTCTTAAAAATTAGGAATGACATTACTATGATACGATAGTAATAAAATAAAAAATATTTCAATCACAAAATAAAACATCTCAAACATAAAACTCAAATACTTAACATAAAGTAAAAAAAATATACTTAAATTATTGAAGAAAACATATTATCTCATCTTAAGTATTCGTTACAACTACTACTAATTAATAGGATGCATATTGCAGCGTGTTGCAGGTGTATCCGTGTCAGAAGCTGATTCGGAAACCTTACCGTGTCTATTATTCCTAGCCTATATGGTTATTATTTCCATAACAATGCTGATATCTTGCAAATATTTAGATTAAAATTGTATTGTCCCCCTTGGATTCCTAAACTTATAACAGAATATCAGGATTTCTTAGGGAAAACTCCAACTTAATGCTGTCATATTGTCTAGTCATGTAGCTTTTCAAAATGAGCAGTTAGACTAACTTGTCAATAAGTACATTTATGTGGTACTGATCTATCAATTCCATTAATTGGCATGACATGTAAGCTTGGTGATTGGTGTGTATTAGTTTAAACTAATTTTTTACCTTCTAGTGATATTTTATGTTTCACATGGTTGTTACTTATCCTGTTTAATTTCTGTCAGGTAAGTGGAGAAATTGAGGCAGTGCATGATGCTCTTTTGCAAATAACCACTAGATTAAAACATCATTTCTTTCGTGATGCATATCCATCTATCAATTATCCTTCAAATTCTCCATTTCTGGATCAACTTCCACCATTCCCACCTTATTTAGGAAGACGGGGACTTTCACCTCCTGGAATGTATTCTGACCTAGGTCCTCTGCCACCACATGGTGGTTTTCCACTTGATGACCGCCCTCCTTTTGTGAATAATATACATAGACCAGGCATTCCTCCCCACATATCTGAAAGGAAGCCTTGGGGTCCTCAGGTATTGAATTATTATTACTCTCTTAGGTACTGATTATGGTTTAATCACTGCCTTTGCAGTATATCTGCATGTCATTTGCATTACTATCGAATGCTTGGACTAGATGTTGAAATTAATCTAGTTAAAATTAAACTTGAACTAGATCATAGGGGGAAGAGTAGTCTAACAGGCTCAGTTGGCATAAAAATAAATGTGTATGCAGTAATATTTTTCATGAAACGTTTTTTTCAAGTTTATGTGACATTTACTCTTATTTTTAAAATTCTAAACTGTTCAAAGGTTCTTTTTTACAAAAACATTTTCTTTCAATTCTGACTTGCATAATTTATAAAGAGATACCTTAGAAAAACTCTTAAAGAAATTAACAGTCTTAATGGTTACTGCAAATTAATCTATATATTTAAATATACAACATAAGAAGTTGCAACATCGTAGTTCTATCCTTGGCAGGAATTTCTTTTATTTAAAATCCAGGGGCATCAGGCAGGCTTCAGCAATAAGCTGTTAGAAGCCATGTTCTGATGAATATCTGTCAATACTCAAACCAAGAGGACTGAACCTTGGACCATTACTCCATTATCCAGGCCAAATTAACTGTTCTGTTTCTCCCAGCTGTAAAATTTCTGAAAGAATTACATGTCAATATTTGGTTGTAAGAAGTTGATATGGTTTAAAGATGTTCTCTTTACACACTGATATGCTTACCTGTGTGGGACATCCCCATCTGGTTTCTAGGGGTTACATGAAGGTGGTGCACCCGTTGGCTTGCCAGACTTTCCAGGTGGTCCTCCTAGAAGAATTTCAGGATTTGCCGGGTGTGCATCATTGTTAATAACTTCATCTTCTTTACTAATTTTCAAATCCACTTCTGTTCTCCCTCTGTTAACTGTCATCTTTTTTTTTCATGCAGGGGGAGCCAACCAATTATCACAAGTACCACTGTTGAAGTTGTTGTTCCTCGAGCGCTGGTGCCTGTAATATATGGAGAAGATGGTGAATGCCTGAAACAAATACTTCAGGTGAACCCACTGCATCTGACAATTTATAATATTAATTTTGTAGCTTTAATCTGGCTTATCCAGATAATTTTTTTGCTTTACAATTTAAATTGTTGCTGTGCCACTTCTGCACCAATATTTCATGTGTTTACAAATTCTCAAGGAATGCACAGGAGGGACATCTTTCAACCTTTTAGATGTAATTTGCATTTTCATACACTGAATCCTTTGCTTGTGTTAATGTGAGAAATTGTGTATGAATCTTCTTCTTAGACATTGAAGTTAGAGAAGTGTACTCAAACCCTAGCCCCAAATATGCAAGGTAGGGGGAAAACCAATGAAAATATTATCTCTCTTTTCTGCTTTAATTGGATTTGGAACATAATTTGTTGGATGGTGTAATTGCTGATGAAATCATTATATAATTCTTCGTGATTTTGACATTTACAATGTGATCCACACTTAACAGATCTCTGATGCAAATATTACTATTACTGATCCAAAGCCTGGAGCTGTGGAAACTAAAATCATAATATCTGGAACCCCTGAGCAAACTCATGCTGCACAAAGTCTTATTCAGGCATTTGTCATGAGTGAGAGGGAGTCTGGTTGATCTCTCTATTTGGGTAACACACTAATACATTTGTTTCTTTTGTCTAGAAGTTGTAGTTGAGCTCAGTTTTCTGCTTAATCTTATTTATGTTGCAATTTTTAATAGGCATGTGGTATAAATTGTAAAGTAAAATATATAGAAATATGACTATGCCCAAGCTTTGCTTTTTATGTGCATTTGCTTTGACTTTTCAAAACTTGAAGTTACATCCTATGTTTGATAGATTTTCATTATGTCCTAGATGTATGCCCTTTTAAAATCTTACATAAAAACTAGGTCAAGTGATTGAGCTGTGTTTTGAGGCTTGTAGAATATAAAACAGTCAAGGGTTTCAGCATCTCTTGTTATCTTTAACTCAAGCACTTTTGGTGCATGCTTTACGCCTTCTTTATCCTGAACATGTAAGAATATTAATTATCCAATTTTTCCACGCATTTGTGCTTTTCAATGTGGCCCTATCGTAGAAAAAAACATTGGCGAAAGAAAGAAAGAAGATAATGTGAAGAGCACTTACTCTACTCTAGAAAGAAAGAAGATAACGTAAAGAACATTTGCTCTGCTGTACTTAGCACATTAAACTACTTCCACGATCGTAAAATACTGAGTAAAACTGAAGGCAGCCTGTTAAAAATTGATTTTTTTAATTCCTCTATTTATAATCTTGTTGGAAATAAATATGCAGAACAGTTAAGGGACGTTTGTATTGGACTTTATTGAAAGAGAATAAATGTATGACTGTCAAGAAAGGGAGTTTGTTAGACGCCAGTCTCTGTGTTCTGTTTTAAATGGATAGTTCTACATGGATTGGTCTTGGCATCCGAAGGTTAGATTGTTTTCCACTGACTTATGAATCACGGTTAGAGATAGTTGTTGATTGTAACTTCATTATGCTTGTTCCCTAACAGGATTTCATGATCATTTAGTGAATTTGAATCTCGTTACTGTCCAGAATTTTCACTGTGCTATTTAAAATGCGTTTGATGCAGATAGAAGCTTTAATGCATGCTTCACTGAATCGAGTGGGTATATATTGTACATGTACCATAGATGGCTATATTAAATGATAGTGCTCAGCTTCATTCATCTTGGGATTATTCATGACATGTGTACACTGCAGCTGTGTGCTATATTCGTTCTTTCATAAGCACTTGATAACAAGACATTATCCATGGATTTGGTGAAACTAAGTAAAACAAAGAAAAGTGACTTAGAAATCAATTATTGCTGGGGTTTGAAGGGCTGGTATTTCTTGAGATCTTGAGCGAGGCCTTGGATGGAGCCAGCAGCAGAGATAATAGAAACAATTAAGCAGGCCCAGCTCAATATCTTGAGCCATGTCCACGTGAAGGAAAGTCTTTGCATCTTTGACTGCTTTATGTACATTTCAATGGGGAAGTAAACTGTTAATGGCCAAAAGGACAGGGAACCAATTAGGCCCAAGAAGTCATTGAAGAATGGAAACATCATAGCTATCACAGCTGTGATGATGACATATGTTGTTCTCCAGATTACCCTGAAGAAGTTAACATGGTAGGTTCCACATAGTGGAAAGTTCACAGCATGGTCTCCATTTACAAATTGGCTGTTGGACCATCTTTCCTTGCTGCAGTTCTCTACAAACGCAAATATAGGTTGGCAGAAGACCTGACAAAAAAAAGAAAAAGAAAACCCCATGCATGAACAAACAAATACATATATGCCATAGATCACAGTAGCAGGAAATAGGCTTGATTCAATTTATTTACCTGGTATGCGCCAATTAAGTGCACAGCTATACAGACGTTGGCAAAGTCTATTAGCCAAAAAGGCTCATAGAAGCCGAACCCTGTGAGGAAATTTCCTGGTGCATCATTTCCAAATGCTGCATAACCTACGCAGCCACATAGCACATAAAACATGGTTGTAGTCAAGATGCCAATCAAACTTGCTCTTTTCATGACCTTGTTCTCTGGAGGACTCGATTTTAGGGTATCCTGCAATTGTGTGGTCCGCGTTATGGTGGGCATGGAATCAAGATTTTTTAATGATAATCATTTCATTTCCCATCCTTATTAGACGGTTGACACATATTTAAACACACACAACGAGATATCCCATATTCAGATATTTTTATTTTCGGTCAGATTTGTTTAGGCCATAAACCATTTTTACTTAATTTCATATTCATTTACATAAATCCAACTTCTGCAAAATATAAATGAATCTCGCTACTATTTTATAGTATCGCTCAACCAATCATCAACAGACATTGTTACTGTTGTACTTAATATTCTTGTGTTCGAAGTTTTCATAAAAAGGTAGATAAGGAATTCTAATGATGCACTAGTTACAGTACGTGAAAACAAATGAATAAAAAAAAACGTTCGAACGAAGGAACTGTGATTTGCCTTGGCATCTTATCCAAGATAGAATAATGACTTTTTGATAAAAGGTGTCCTTTATCTTTTATACTTTCCGCTAAAAAAATTAGATAGAAAACCAAGAATCTTTAGTTTCGATTAGAATATATTCTACCACTAATGGATAACTAATGACTTGCGTTTGCTATAAACGTGTCAATATTATATGATATCTTACTCCACTAAAGGCAATTAATTAGAAAAAAATGAATATAATATTATACGAGTTGTATATTATTATTTAGATTATTAAAAATTGTGGTAATAGATCCAGTGCGCTGTTTACGCGAAACTATTGAGTGTAAATATAAATTTGTGCGTCAGTAATTTCGACAATTAATTCGAGAATCTGTAGATTGCCTTTTCTTGGTCTCTTTAGCCAGTTCGCTGTCTTCACTCGTAGAATGAAAACTTCCTTTTTATAAGTAACAGTATGGCAAATATAATTTGGGCTTAAGCTCTAAATCCTCCGGATAGCTGAATCTTCTCCGGTGAGTTTTTTATTGCACTAAATCTAGTTTTAATCATAACTATCAATTATTATATTCATTATGTTTTAAATTAAAAAATTATTAATTTTGAGTCACCGGAGAGGATCCTTTTCCGAGAAGTAGCGAACCAGTTTTGCTTCTCTTTTTATTTTTCGTAAATAGCAAGTAAGAGTTTCGTACGTTGAAAAGCGCCAAGTGGATAACATACCAATCGAAGCCCACAACTTGGCCACCCTGCCAAATTGCCACGGTTCTCTTTAATTTTTCATGCATGCAATCATGATCCTTAAGGACAAGGAGGCTATAGATATACCAGCATGATATAGTGTTGAAATTAATGCACTATAGACACCTGGCACACCCAAAAACTTTGCTACAGTCGATCTATCTATATTAACGGTATGGATAGGCACAGGCAAAGTAATTTTATATATTATCATCGTGACATATGTTCTCCGTACGATCTCTTTGTAGCCTCATCAATCGCTGATCTTTTGAATGTTCTAGCATCCATTATTAATGAAAGATTTCTATCCTATTTGGAAATATATGGAGAGGATTTGAGTTGATAAATCCCCATGCTTTGTTTATGTCAGCATGCAAGGTTTCTTTTTTATGCAAACCATAGGCGAGATCATATATATATGTATATAAAGATTGTTAATGATAATAACAACATCATGAGTTACCTGTATCTCGATGAGCACATTAGAATAAGCGTAAGCGAAGGCAATGTCACCAATAGCTTGAAACATCCTCCAGACCTTCTCAGTTCCTGTGACGTCTACCCCAACTTGCACCCCCGTTAAGGATGTCCTTACATGTTCTCCGTTCCCACCTTCACCATCGACCAAACATGCATGTATATATTTTGTTATTGTTATTATTACTATAATTAATGCACAAATGAAGAACATGATTCTATGTAGTAACTAATTAATTTTTTCACTATCCTAGCTAGAGCAAAGAAGACTTTACGTTAATTTGATTGCAAAATTACCTGCTACTTTAGCTATGGAGAGGCCGAGACCAATGGAAGAATAAGCAAAAGACATAACGGCTGCAACAATGGAGAGCCACGAGAGCTTATGAAAGTTTGGTATCTGGCTAAGCACAATTTGGATGCAGGCAAAGAGGATCATGAAAGGGTTATTTGACGTATAGCACTTAACATGATGGCCATGTTTGTGAAAACAATTCGACCTCTTCACCGCCCTGATTCGTTATCAACATTTGGAAAACAAAGAATTATTTATCATTACACTAAACATATACCACCGTTAGTCCAAAGTTTAGATACTAATAATTTAGCCAACAGTTCTTATGGAAACTTACACCATACTAATTGAAGCTGTTATTGTGTAACCGATAGTTACACCGACTAGATTTATATACTGAGCTAATCCACACAGCTGAAATTTCCTTCCTCCTACGGAAATCGAAAACGACAAGAAACGATGATTAGCACGGTTTGAGTTATGCTCTTCGAAGTTTAATATATCCCTCTTGTAAACACAAGAAACGGTGATTATTTTAGTCCCTAGAGAAAGCTTGAATGCTCAAATTTCAGTAACAATTAACAAACCTATCTATATACCGACACAAAAAGTAAGAATAGTTTAGAATTCTCATATTTACTAAAAGAAAAAATTTAGCAGTTTTTTATATTTTATTTACTATAAAGTAGTATCAAGGAAATTATAAAAAAAAATCAATTTGTTAATTGTTATTTTAAGTGAACTAAACTACTAATAAATGAAATCTTTTCACTTCTTTTTCATTGACAAGTTGCCTTTAGCTAAACCGTAAGTTATCTACATATTAATTATAGGAAGATATATAACAGTACCCAAATGCATGAAGAAAATAAAAAATCATTTATTTGTACCTAAGACAGATCTGACAACATCGGAATAGGTGTAGTTTCGTTTGCCATGAACAGGGTCAGGTGAACGATAACAGTCTGCAAGAAGAGTGGAAGTGAAGTATGTAATAAAAGAGAAGGCAATAAGAACCGCAGGACCAGCCACCCAACCCATTTGTGCAATTGCCCATGCAAGTGACAACACTCCAGACCCTATCACTGCCGTTATGATATGAGCACTCGCAGTCACCCATGTACCTTCAAACACAATCATAAACAAATTCAACCATATTATATACACGTATTATTGTATAATATAACCATGTATAAACATATGTTCATGTTGGGTTTATATAGCTATACGAAAATATGTATGTATACCGGTTCTTTTGATTCGTCCATCATCGTCAAAGTTTTTGCCACCTTCGCTAAATGCTTCAGGGTTTTCTATGTACATGCTATTCTTCTGAAACTGATCAGGGTTCATTTTTTTTATCTCTTGGTTTGTGTTTTTAGTGGGCGTGTGGTGGTATGCGCCCTACCAAGGAAAAAGGAAAAAGATCGAGAAAGGAAAGGTGTGTGTTGTGTTTAATTTCTTTGCTTGTATTTGGTGTGGTTGGCTACGCTTGGCGGTTCTTTATAGTGGAAGCATTTGGGGTGCAAAGATATTTTAACTACAGAAGGAAAAGCAAGAGATCATGATAGTTTGTGAGAAAAAACAATAATGGGTTAAATAGAGGAGAGGAAGCGAAGTCAAAGGAGTGTTGTTGAGTGGTAGTGAGGCACATGTACTTAAACGATAGGTGAGGAATTTATTGAAAAATAAAAGTAGCATACTTTATCAAAAGGCATTGGAAGTAGAAAAGGACAATATAAAATTGAAAAGCTTGAATTAATGGTGAGCTTAAGATGATAGGTGGTTTATGAGGGTGGAATTTTTGACACGCCTTAGAACCATTGAAGGTGGCAAATTCTGCTCTGGCATGAGGAATCCTTGTCCCCACAAAAGTCCATTTTTGTTTTAGTCCATCCATTGGAGAATTTTTTTATGGCAGCCACTGATGATGGGTTTTTTTTGAAAGTGGTAGAAATCCCTTGACCGAGGCACCATGCATGGCCTCTCTCTTGCACTTGATTCCCTACCTTTTTGGTCATATTGGGTTTTCATTTTGCCTTTAAGTTTATCTTAATTCACACACCGCCGAAACCCACCTGCAAAATTTTGGTTTATCACCGATAATATGAACTTTGACCTAACTTCTCGATTTTTCTTTGTATAGTTGAAGATCTATGTTGAAGATCATATGAGGTGCACCTTTGCTATATAATATAATGCCGACTTTCCCGCTAAGCACCTTTGCATCTTGCATTTCATTGGTTCCAATATCAGAGGCACTAAATCATGATCAACACAATAATAATAACATTTTTTCTTTAAAAAATAGTCCTATATATAATTATGGCCTTTAAAAAAAAGAACTCACCTTAATTAACCTTCACTATCAGTACACCCCTGGTTTTCATCAGTAATTAGGCCTCAAGTGATGAATGGTCTTTATTAATATACCATATATGTCTAGACAGTGATGTTCATGATGTGGATATCTTTTAGCAGTAAATGCTACAGAAGAGCTTTTTAAAGGGTCACTGAAACTTGAAGTGGTCCACCGCTATCTACTATAGAATATCAATGTTTGTGGTTATCTACAGTACCTGATCAGTTCATATAAGACATATGCTGAAAACTCTGCTTTGTCGGCATTTACTATCTTAAAATTCATTCTGATCCTTTTGCTCAGTTGTCCTCACCCATCCCATGGAGCAATAGTGTTAATTAGCATTGACCAAGGCCTTCCGTGCCATTACACACCTGTGTAACTGGAACACAACTATAAAGAACCAATTTTGCTGTTAATAATATTAAGTGCGACTCTTATATTCTCACTCATCATTCTATCTTATATTCATTTTCTACCTTTATTGTTTTTAATGGATAATGGTAACTGTGTACTTCATTTTTAGAGTTTAAGAGATGGAATGAATAGAAAAATTAATAAAAAGGCAAAAAAAAGTAATGTGACAAAAAAGTTCAATTTTTTTTTTCAATTGTTTGTTATGTTACTTGTAACATATCTTATTTTTCTTTCTTCGTTTCTGATATTTCTCATGCTTCGGGGGTGAGTTTGAAAACATGTTTTTTCTGTTAGGTTTCTTCTTTTTTGTCTTGCTGTCAAGCAAACTTTTATTAAAAAAATTAAAATGAAATATATTAGTAATATTTTATTTTAAAACTATATTTAACTAATTTCTTTACTTTTTTTTTAAAGATTCGTATGATGAGTGTTTAAAATATTTTATTAAAACATTATATTCAGTTAAATATGCATCATCAAATAAATAACTCTCACCATCATCAAAAAAATACTATTTAATTAAATATGTATTTAACCATTAAATGTTAAATAGGTTTGTAAAATTACTTTTAATTTTTTTAATAGTGACATTAATTACCACTTCTCTGTTTTTTGTCATGCTAGTCGAACAATGAGACATCGAAACATTGAACCTAGTCGAGACAAAAGAAATCGTAAAGGGGAATTAACAATCATTACTTTTTCACACAAAATTTTATTACATTGCTTTTGATACTTTTATAAAAGTCTTTTTGTCTTCTGCTTTTCTGTGATAATTCATTTGAAGCATTACAAAGGTTCAAGGAACGTAAAAGTTGAAAATAATATAGGGCTGGATCTTAAAAATATTTTTTAAAAAAAAAAAATAAATTTATAAAAAATTTATATAAAAATTAGAATTATTGTGTGTAACTAAGAAAGCTGAAGAGAGAAAAAAATCTTACTCTGTCCCATTGCTTAATATATAACTGATGAAGACACAAATTTTAGAACATTTAAACATAGTTTCACTTTAAAGGCACAAAATCGATAACTCATGATTCTGCGGTATTGTGGTAACCTAAAAAATTTCTTCTATTTTTATTCTCCTCACGTTAAAGGCACCTTGATCATACTGTCGTCACCATTTTCATGTACTTGTTGAAACTCTGCCTTCATGTCGATTGGGTTAGAATGAAAAGAACAAAAGGACTCCGCTACATTATAAATTAAGAAAACTTACTATTATATCATTCAAACTTTAGGTACATTTATAGCATTCAACTTTTAACATCTACTTATATACTTTTATTGTGTGTCGTGAACTATTTTATTTTATTTTAAAATTTGCATTTTAATATCTCATTCAACAGAATAATAATGTTTTAAGGTATTTTTATAAAATATAATAATTTACATAAATATGTTTATACATATACAAAAATTGTTCTGGAAAGAGCTAAAAATATATGTTTTTAAATAATAATAATTACATTTACATTTTCAAAGACCGTAACTAAATAGTTTAAAGTCTCTAAACAGACCTAGATTAATAAAATAAAATTTATAATCTTCACAAAACTCTAGACTTTATGCTTTCTTCAGTCAGACCTTTCAATTTGAGAAGTAGTTACAGAACATGTCACATCTGCTCTCACGTAATACTACAGTACAATCATTGCCAGATACATCTATCATATACACAAAATAGTAAGGGTAAGCTTACATAATAACAAACATAATTATAGAAAAATAAATGAATCTAATTATCTATGTAGTTCATCATTCATCAATTTCTCAACGTTTACTCAACAATACCACTTATTTCTATTAACTTTTTGAGTGCCAATAATTACGACAATAAAAATAATAATAATAATAAACCATCACAATAATCATAACGACAACAATTCAGTTCTATCCGATATCACAACACTAGTGATTCCAGAAGGAACCTACTACTCGACACCTTTGCCTACTACTCAACACATGACCTACCACTCACTACATTGGCCTACATCTACCTACTACTTTTTCATACAATTTTATTACCATCACATAATCAACATTAAAACATATTATTCATAACATTTGTCAATCGATCTCAACATGATATACAACATCTTCTTGACAGTTTTCTCAGCCTTATAAATATTATACCATCGAATAATACAACAGAAAAATCCATCACAAACACATCCAGTTCATCTCACTCATCAACAATAATCAAACATCGCAATCATATTTACCTTAAGTTTTATCCTATGGTTTTGCTCATACATCAGCCTATCTTTGGTTCGAAGACATTTTCATACATATATATACATATATTTATTTATTTATTTATTTATATCTTTCGATATTAGCTGATTAAATCAAGCCAACTAGAATAAGCTCCCTTTACCTAGAATGAGTGTTCTTCAAATCAACTCCTAGTAAGTCTCGAAGGGATAGATCAAGTGTTTGGGTATAAAATACGGTTTAAATAGCTCAGATCTACTCAAAACGACAAGGTATAAGTCACTTAAGAAAGAGATAGAAGAAACAAAGTAAAGACTGAAAACTGAGCTTCAAGAATTCACCTATATTTCAATGAGATAGAAAATCCCGCTTTGATCGGAGAGAATTTCAGCTTCAAGAAAGTTTTCTCTAAGAGTAATAGGAGAAAGAATAAAGAGAAAATGAGAGAGAAAAGCTGTCTGGTGAGAAAATGAAGTTTATGGACGCTGAGTCCCCTTAAATACCCCTTCAGCTCCCGCGTTCTTGCTTAAGCGAACTACTTCTCGGTTGAGCGAGAAAACCAGATAATGAAACCTCTCAAATTTCTAATATCCTCGCTCGAGTGAGCAACATGTCGCTTGAGTGAGTTATATCTTGCTTAGGCGAACAACATTTTCGCTTGGATGAGATTGCGTCCAGAAAGCTACCTATTACTTCTGCGACATCTCGCTTGAGCGAGATTCCTTCTCACCTGGGTGAGGTTACAACTGAGACAATCCTATCTACTCTCGCTTAAGTAAGATTGATATCGTTTGAGCGAGATACCCTGCACTTCGAGAGATAAATAATACCAACTCTTAACCATATTTTCTAAATTATGCTACACACAACACACTTAATAATTATTTTTCAGCTTACGTTGTACTTTGCATTCAACAACATCATCACACAACACAACAATCACACGGCTTCTAATTCAGCAAACATACAACCTTTATATATATACATTCTGATATATGAAAATTCATAGACTTGGATATATATAACACAATTCAAATGAAATAGTAACATATAATTATACCAATCTGGCATTGTGAGTTATTCTTAATTCTTAAAAAAGAAATTTTTTTTATATGGTCTAATAATACAATGATCTTAACCAATCAATATTTAACATGTCAAGTATTAATTGGTTAGAATTATCATGATCACCAAACTATACAGAATTAATTGAAATGAAACAACAATGTGGTTTTTTTTAATAATATCAACAAATCATGATTTTTTGTATCAGCCATAAATCATTACTTGTATTAATAACTATTTTAATTGTTATATCTATAATGTATTGCAATTGATCAACGGTGTAACAAAAAATTACATTAACAATACACAAAAATTAAACTCAATTTTATATTATTGGTAATAATATTATTACTTACTCACTTTATATAATTACTTATTTTGGAAGGATCAAATATTGATTCAAGACATCTAAGTAACTTGTCAAACAACATCAATTATCAAGTATTTGAGTTTTTTTATGTATGGTACGTGATTTTTTACGAATAAAATATAAAAAGTATTTTAAAATTGAAAATTATTATTTATAAAAAGTGTTTTATATGAAAAAAAAAAGCAAAAGATTCACAATGGATATTAAATGTCTATGCCACATTATGCTTGATCATAGCATTTTTTTTATATCAAAATATCATATTTAAATTTTAATTTTTTTTAATATAAAATATATTTTTAATAAATTATTTTAAACTTGCACTAAAATTGATTAATATATTTTGATGGGAGTAAAATGTATTTGGATACACTAATCGACTAAACCTGCATCAAACTCAAAATCTTAAAACATCGTATAGGTCATTATTATTTATATATTATTTAGTTTTTTATTTTTATTTAATGTGACGCTTTTCAAACTTGACATTAAAATCAATATCCTTTTTTAAAATTTTTTAAAAAATAAATACCTAAAAACATACGATAAATTTTTATATATAATAATTTTTTATGAAAAGTCACATAATTTAATATACATTAATGATAACATCCAATACTATAATTTTTAAGTAAAAAATATTATTTAGTAATTTTCTGTTGTATACTCTTAAATAAATTCCCAAAACCATTGTATGTGTACACGAACACATAAGAATCTTATAATCGAAGCGAAGATACAAATTTAAAGATATTTGGGTGTCTTTCACTGGAATCAACACATGTTGGCCGTTGAAAAATCAATAGATTGATTCCAGTAATTTATTTTGAAGAAAAACAATGAGAAAAATGAACTAAATGCAACCCTATTCCGGTGAGAATCACGTCCTGGTGGGAAATGTAGGCAGATCGAAGTACTATGTAAGACTGAAAGACATGTTAATGGAGGTTTTTGCAAAGAAGTAACAAAAACTACTGTGAATCAACCTCAGTTCCAACATCAACCGAACCAAAAAAGCCAAAGCATAAAAATTGAAAAGATTTTATTTTATTTTGTTTTTCCGTATGTACCAGGTATACATTATGTGATAATTGCTGTGACTTGTGAGTATCAACTAGTAGGCTAAGTGCTGCCACTCACTCTGCATTGAGAGAATAATACAAATAAGGTTTGACCTGAGAATATGCTAATATTGTTGCGGCGATCGACAATCAATGGACTTTAAACGTGCGAGAGCATCTGTCAATTTACTACTTTTTCCCTTAATCAACGAACATTTTGGATGGTTAAGATTCTTGTCCCATTTTCATCACAAGGTTTTAATTAAATATTCGGACTCATCTTCACTTGTTTTTCTTAAATCTCTTCTATGGAATATATTTTCTTTAGAGTTTTATAATCATTTCACGGCTAAGACCGACATGTTTGTAATATAAAATGGCGTGCACCATGAAAACGAATCCTCAGATTATGCCTAGCGATCACACTCCTTTTCACTACAATAGCGTCTTCATTAGCCCTTCATTTTTCTTTGGTTTCGGAAAACAAACCACCAGATAGGAACAATTGTTTTTGGTATTTTAATAGATGAAATGCATGCAGAGATGAGAGAGCTATATCAATTAAATGAATTTAAAAATACGTACCAAAATTGGTTTGAAAAGTAGTGACTTAGATGAGTTCCAAACTAACCACTTGGATTTCTTGGGGCCATCCCAATCTTGTCCACGAATCTCAATTATGATAAGTTATTATATTTTTTATGTGCCAAAATATGACTTTGACACCGATCTGCTCCGGAAAAAGCATTATATTTACACAATTTTTTATATCTATTTATTATTATTTTTCTTTTAATATCACGTCATATATCATATATATTTTTTAATCTATTTCTTTCATCCATCCATTTAACACCCCTTTAATAGATATCAGGAGGTTGTCATTTAAAATTTTTTATATTTACACATGATTTTTTAATGTAAAATAGGTACAGAAAAGAAAAAAATAAGAGATATGTTTGATGATGGTATAAAGAAAGAAGAAAGATAATAAAAAATAAACATATAAATGTGAGAACTCAATATTTGCAATGCTCGAACAAATAATTAATAAGATATGTTGCAATCATTCTAAAATTAGTATTGATCCTGATTTTTCGATCACTCCAATAAATTTAATCAAAATATTAAAGTTTGAAATTATACAATATTTATAGCACCAAGTATACTAGTTAGAAACAATTATTATACACTAAATTATATTTTTATTCCGAGAATAAGGAATATTGTATGTGTTATAATCTTTTACAAGTGACTTAACAAAGAAACCAATTAAAAATGATCAAACCCAAACCCTTTAGTTGATATACTAAACCCTAATTCCTTCACACTAAGTATGAATAGCACTGTAAGAGTCTATAGAAGTATTTTTAAAATTCACTGTACCGTTTTATTATTTGAATGATTAAAAAATAAAAAAATAATAGGTAAAAATAATACCAATTGCAATAAAAGAGAATGTAGTTCATATGTTATTCTTGACCAATTTTAATCCTCAAAAATATATTTGGCTAATTTTGAAAGATAATAGGTCAGGGCTTGATGAAAACAGTAAAAAAACATCTAATTATTTTCGATCATTATTGTTCATTTAAATATCAATGGTGGGCCTATTCCTAAATCATGTAAATAAAGTTGGGGGAGCACACCATTGCGTAATTCTAGTTTCACAAGAAGCCCACGGGTTTTCATTAGGGCGGTAAAATAGACAAGGCCGCATAGCCCACTAAAATTGATAGGCCGCTCATCCCGTTTTAGCTTGCTGCAATGTGACCCAATGGTGAATTGAAACGGACTGACCCATTAGACTCAAATTTTATTTTTAAAAAATAATAATAAAATATTAATTTTTTAATATAAAAATATTTTTAAATATTTTTTTATTACTTATGGTAACTTTTTAGTTTTTTATTTTGTTAATTTTTGGTGGAATGGTCTATTAATCTTTTTTTTTAATTGTTGGCAGGTTGACCAGTCAACTCTTAAACAGGTTAGATTAAAAAAATTGACTCTATTTTTTAAACAAAGCAGACTTGAGTTAACATATTTTTAGATAAACTTTTGGTAGAGCAAAGTGTCCCTTATTAATATCTCTAGGTTTCATCGGGTTAAAGAAAAATAATTGAACAATAATATCAACATTAAAATTATAACATAAATATTAATTGATGTCTTAATAGTATTAATTAAAAAATTTAAAATAAATTAATTCATAAAGATATTATTAATAAACTTTTTTATGATTTCTAGTATGTCTTAAACGGAAATGTTACAAAAGATAAGAGTTTGAATCCTGTGCATTGTTGACAAAAAGAAAAAAAAATTGAAGAATAATATTAGTATTAAAATTATAACATAAATATTAATTGATGTCTTAATAGTATTAATTAAAAATTTTAAAATAAATTAATTCGTAAAGATATTATTAATGTACTTTTTTATGATTTCTAATGTCTTAAACGGACATGTTACAAAAGATAAGAGTTTGAATCCCGTGCATTGTTGACAAAAAGAAAAAAAAAATTTGTAAAGTTCTAACAAGAGATGATAATTGTAGGATTTGAGAAAAGTATTTTAGTACTTATTTTTATAAATATATTAAAAAAATCATCATTAGTCTTGTTGCTATAAAATAATAAAATAAAAATCACATGATTACTGTGAGAGGTAAAGCTCTTCCATTAAATATATGGATAAACTTACAATTAGTTGTTTTTATTTAATTTATAATTTAAATTTAAAATTAAAATGAATGTAGTTATATTAAATATTAAAAAATTCAAATATAACATACGATTTAGACAAAAACAAGTAATGTGCAAAAACTAAATATTTTATCATTAAAAATAATATAAAAAATATAACATTTTTTTATGCATATTCAAATTTAAAGACCATATATAGTTTTTTTTAATTATTATTTATTAATTTTAATATATATTCTTAACCCCTTATAAAAAATATTAACTTTAATTTTTGATATCCAATTTAAGTATTTGAAATAGTGCGTTATATTATATTAAAAATATATTTATTATGTTAAATTATATATGTGTGATAAATATATTTTTTAAAACAAAATATTATCATATAAAAAACGAAAATAATATCGCTGAAGAGGCCCTCTATAAAAGCAATGATGAATAGATTGGCTTTGAATTTGATTCCGTTTTAGCGCTTAATGGGATTCGTCGTGTCCGTCCTTGCGAGTTGAATTCTAAGTCAGAGCCTTACGAAAAATAGAAAGTGCTTTTGGTTTTTGGGGGATTATGACAGTAACGAAGGATTCAACCTAACAAAATCAATTTTAGAGTCATAACATAACATCACAAAATCAAATCGACACAAATACATACATTCATAGTTTTTCTTTCTTTCATTCATTCCAAATCCCAATTTCATCTTAGTCATCATTCATAATAATTTGATACACCTGTCCCCATATTCTGTGGCAATTACGAACCCTAAAATACGATTCCCTTTCCCTTTCAGATCTTCCTTTTTTCTCAGAATTTCGAGTCAAATACGTTTCTCTGCCCTATTTTTTGTGGATTGTTATGTCATTGTCGTAGGGATACCTGGTTGCCTAATTGCACTATTCTGCATTGCTGCCATGTCAGTAGGTCCGTTTTTTTCTCTTCTTTTCTCCAGCTTAACGTCATAATCTCGATTTTTTCTTTTCTCTGTTACCCTAACAATATGTAGCAAAACCCTTTCAGCTATTAATGATCGAATCGCAGGACACGGAGGAACCCCCTTTTTTTTTGTCTTTTACCTCTTACTTATTCACTGTCTGGGAAGAAATAGATTAATTATGAGAAATAATTGTTTTTAATTATCGCAAAAAATTATTAAAAAAATTTAAATAAGTTAATCTGATAATATTAGGTTAATATGAGCTAAGAGATAGCAATGTAAGTTTTTTTTTTTTTAATTTATGAAATCTCACTTCTGCTTGATCGATTATTCATGTTTCAGGTTTAGTTTCGCTAGTCTGTTCCTGTTCGTTCCACATACTGCGATCCAATGTCCATATCAACGGATGAGTTTTGTTGATAAAGAATTAGGCAGTGTTTGAGTGATATGTTAGGGTTTGAAAAGGGCACCAGAATTTGTTGCTAATTAATTATGATTAATAACATTAGCTGTAAGGGAGAGATGTGCGTGTGGTCATTGTGGGGTATATGCATGTTGCAGCAACTTGGGGAGGATGTTTCGTTGGTCTGAAACACTGAAGCTGGCAGGTAGAGGGTTTGCCTGGTGCAATGCCACGCTCTGTGAAGGTCAAGCCTGTGTCTACGTTGGAAACTCTACAGGAGATTGGTGTTTATATTCATAGGTTTCACAATCTTGACCTTTTTAGGCAGGGGTATACTTCTATCCATTTTTACTTTTTTTTTTTCCGGTTCACAATTTTTGCCCTGAATTTCTAACCTGATAAACTGATGTATGCATTGTTTTATATATAGATGGTATCAGATTAAGGTTACTGTGAGATGGGAGGATAGTGAAAATATATCTTTTGGAATTCCAGCCAGAGTTGTACAATATGACGGTAATTTATCAAAATTATGCTCTGGGTGTGCTTGTGAGAGTGGAATCTGGCTTATATGTTATTATGAATATACTTCCCAACCACATATTTTGATTGTAGTTTGCCAATTATTCAACCCACAGTTGATTAGTATAATAGTTTCTCTATCTATATTCTTGGAAAAAAAAATGCATTTAGATTTTTTAAAGCTTCTTGCAAGTTGACACCATGAATTATACAATCTTCAAATTAATTCCAAAATTATGGTCGTTTGTTATGAATCTCCCATTGAGTAAACTAGGAAGCTCAATGTGGCATTTAAGCCATGGTACTATTCTCTTTTTTGTAATTATTAAACAGGGGCAATCTATGTGAGATCATGAAGGATTGTTCATGGTGGATAAGATCACATCTATACAAATTTTCTTAAGATTAATTAATTAAGTAAAAAGATAAGAAAAGTAAATAAAATGAATGAATGGCTAAGATGATGCCACATCGTGCCTTCATTAATAATTCAGTAGAAGATGGATGGATGGATGGACCTATTGATATAATTATTATAGTTTAAGGATTAGGTTGAAAGATTTCATAATTCATAATGGTGTAATCACTTCCAATGGAAACTTTGAAATCGCACAGTTTGATCTTATCCATATATATATATATATATATATATATATATATATACACACACACACAAAAGATTTATTTAGATGGGAATATCATTTTTACATGAGAATGAAAAAAAGTAAATTTGAACTATACAACATGGATAATTAAGATTAAAAGTTATATGATTAATTTTAAAGGTCACATGGCTGTTGAAATTTGTTCTCACTCTAACGTATGAATAACATTCTCTTTATATACAGAAATTTTTTGTCATTAGGCTTATTGCTTTATCTTAAATTAATATCAATATGCTAACTTTTGAATTACTTGATTGAATTTATTTGATGTGGTTACTCTCTCTTGGTGGGTTCTTTGTTGATATGTATAATATTTTTGGGAGAAAGAGATTGATTCCCTCAACATTTGTAGTATTTGCAGGATTAATTCCTTCTCTCATTATGTATTGGTAGTTCCATTTTTGGGCGTTAGTTTTGGGTGTTATAACTCATAAGGTGTAAGTTGAGCTATACAAACTACAGTGATACTTGGCAATGGAGCCTTGTTTGCCTTCATTGGCAAACCATTGGACATTTAGACCTGTGGACTTTGACATGAAATGTCACCATTTAATTGTTGGAGAAGCCGATTTTCTTATTAAATCACAAGATTTCTCATACCCAGATACAACTTGTTGGGTGATGAGTTTTGAAACTTGACTCCCCAAGTAGTTGAAAGAGAAATGAGAACTCATAGTAAGTTAGAAACTGTTCAGTATGCCATGAATTAGGATTGCATTTGAGTTTCCTAATTATGATAGGTATGCGTGAGATTGTGGGTTTCTTGCTCCATTACCCTTGACACTACTGTCTGTCTGTCTCTCTCTCTCTCTCACTCACACACACAAAAACACGCACGCACGCACGTGCAAAATTGATAACTGAGATTAAAAACTTTGGTTCTGCAGCTCCTGATCTGGATCCTAGCAGTATATATGGTGCATGGAGGATTGATGATACAGATAATAGTTTCTCGACACGGACCTTTCGGATAAAATATGCTAGGCAGGATGTTCATTTATATATGATGATCTCATTCAACTTATCCCGTAGTAACCTTGTGGTAATGGTCTCTGTCATTTCTTTTCTTTTTGTGGGTAAAAAGGGGGAAAGGACACCTTGTGGGAATCAAACTGGATCTTTGGTGTCAAATATCAAGGCTACATAGGTCATAGCACTATGTCAATAAGTTTGGCATCTCAGTAGTGCATACATTAGGCTTATTAGGTTATTAGTCTATTGCTAGTGATTTTGGGCTTGTAATAGTATTTGACCTAACCATCAGTATACATAGAAGGATTAATCTAGGATATTTTAACACGTTACATCCACTAATAATATTTTTAGTGTACTGCTATTAATCTACTTTTTCTTTTTTCCTTATTCCCTGATTATGAACTAATAATTCTCATAGTTTGGTAGGTTGTGGTAATACACCCCTCTCTCTCTTTTTGTGACAGGAAAAAGGATATTTTAAGGGCAATATTTGAAACAGAAAATGTTCACTTACAAATCTAATTTTCTTCCATTTTGTAATTGTATGCTTTGTATTGGAACTATTTTTTTGGGAAATGAATATGGAACCAATTGGTTGTAATTTCCTTGTCAGATTGAAGTTTACATGTGCTTATTTTCACATGGATACTGAATACAAAACTAGTTTGCTTCTGTGGCTAAAGGTGATCTAGAACAACCCACATTAAAGATTCCTTAACTTTTTATGAGAAACTAAGTAGCATAATACTTACATTGTTCCCAGCTCATTGTCCTTTAATTCAATGTCCTTATCAAATTTAACTGTTTTATGTGGCTCTTATTTTCAGGATTTAGCTACAACTGCGGTTATTTTAAAGTTTGAGCTTATGTATGCTCCCTTGACTGAAAACGGGTGAGTCATAAAAGTAGTGTATTCATTGGCCTATTGTGTGATCCAGACACATGTTCGTTTCCTGTCTGGTTGATACCTACTGGGTGAAATTGGTGTGCTGATTGCTGACTGGGGTATACCATCTACAGTGCTGACTTGCAAGCTTCTCTGGATGCGTCCCCTGCTGCTATACATGAATTCCGAATTCCTCCTAAAGCTCTTTTAGGATTGAATTCATATTGTCCTGTCCATTTTGATGCTTTGCATGCAGTTCATGTTGATGTAAGTGTACATGTCAGCCTACTGAAAGCTGCCTCTTGCTCATCTGCATCAAAGTCTCCCAGGTTTGTTAGATGTTCTATTTTTCAGCATGAATCTGATAAACTATCATTTTAGCATTATTTGTCCATTCAGAAGTTTATTTTAGAGCATCTTTGATTGCAAATTTGTTTTTATGCATCGTTAATTACATAAAGTAGTTACCTGTCCACTCAATCCATTTCAGCAATTCTGCCAACGCTGAAGTCGTGGTTGATAGAAGTTACAACACATTGGATCAAGTATGTTCTAAAACATTGGATGTCTCATTTTAAAAATCAAAATTGAAGTGCTGATCAAGTTGACTTTGTGCAAAATATTTATTGCAAATAATTACTTGCAATCGTTCATGTCTATGTTCTTTGCTTGCTTTATGTTTACTGAGCATGGAGACAGATATGACATGGGACTGATATGTGAATATGAAAATTCAAAAAATCATAGGGAATGATATGGTTAAGACACAACATATAAAATAAATACGATATTAACATCAAAACTCAAAATCCAAAATTATAATAAATATACATCAGTATTTCATAAGTCTGCTTCAGTTTACCGTAAAACATTATTATCTAATTGTCGTGGTATTCCACTTGTAATTATTCGGAAGTTTAAAAAAAAAAAAAAGATATAGGCAAGAAGCATCCCAAGAAGTTGAGAAGTATCCAACATGATACAATGATAGGAACACACACAAACAGCAGAAATAGTGTAGGTAGCAATACTTGAGTTAAGTATTTTCTGAGAATGAAACTAGATATAACTGAATGCAAATTACAAGAGTAGGAATAGAGCACTAAGTAGCTCAAACACTCCAAAGCCCAATAACTAAAACTTTCATACCCTAAAACTCCTACCAATTACTCAATAAATACTAGCATAACAGAAAATACCAAAACTACTCCTAAAATATTTCCTATAACAGAAATTATTTAATTTACTCGTAAAATCTCTTATTCCTTAATCAGCTCCTAAAATCTCTCATTCATTTGAATCCTCCAAGTTGGTTACAACTAATTTTCTGTTTTCCTTGAACCTCTCCTTGTATAAACCTTCCCATGAAACTGATTTTTTCCATAAAGCTGATTCCTATCGTACACATTCGATACCAACTGGTACAGCAACCAATTTTAAGTATCGGGCCTCTTAACTGTCTACACCTTCAAGAAGACTGGCATATTACTTTGCGTTCATGCAAATGATTTTGTGCTTGTATGATGACTTTAACTGCACCAAACTGTACATAATCAAAGAGGGGACAGTTCTTACGTGCATTTATTACCCATGTGCATGTCCCTTTTCTGTTTTTATTTTTTTCAGTAGAGGCACATGCACATATTTTTCTTGTATGTGAACTACATAGAGACTCCAAGTCAGAGTCTAGCTTAGGAACTGCCAACCCAACCCAATACCTCTATTTAATTCTTCTTTCTTCCCTTTCTCTGTTTTTAAACATTATCTCTAATTCAACCTCTTAAATTTGGGCTTAAGTCTAACTCGACTCCAAAAGTTATGCTTTCATTTTTACAAGCCCTTATTTTGCTATATTTGTAGTCGACTGAGACTTTAAAAGAAATTTCCACACACCTCTCTGCTTCTGCCACATATCTTGCCAACTGCCAATGTATCCTTCATGCAAATTCTTCCACCACATCTCTCTTGCTCATGTGAGTCATTAACTCACTGTCTTTTCTGTTATTTATTTTCTCATAAACTTATAAGTTTTTCTTAGAAGATCAGAGTGATGGATAGCAGAGACCATGGCATGCATGTGCTGTTTTACACCATCAATGGACACCAAAGATTCATTTTGAGATTTTACACCTTCGGACACTTAGTAAAAGGCTTTTCACCAGCTCTGAAATGGGGTGAAAATTATTTAAATAATGTTACATAGGAAGTACGGTAACTTCAATGTTTGCATCTGTACTTTAGTAATCAGGGATTATGCAGATTCTTATTCTTCAATACAAACTATATTCTATAGTGTTTTAATCTTTAGACACTTTTTTAAAGCATTAATAGCATGTTGTGTGGCTGAACAGGGCATTGGTGGAGTTGTGACTCTAGATAAGAAAAATGTCATGCTTATTAAAGCATTACTAACTGCTCGTGACATATTGCTGGAAGAACTACAAAAGATTAGCATAGCAGTTGGTGAAGCTTTAGATATGTCAGAGATTGTGGCAATAATGAGTAACATAAACTCATTAAATTCTGTGCTGCAAGTGAATCACTTTGCAATAGATGTTGAAGTTATAGGACAAGACAGACCGCAAAATGATGTTGAGGTCCTTGCTTTTATTTCATGCTATAGAGAATTTCTTTTTAGTTTTTCATTTATAGTATTTTTGTGTTTCTTCTTTTTTAATTCTTTGCTCTCTTCCTGTACAGGAAGGAAATGGTTCTCTGGATTTTCTGAATGTTGAAAAGCTCCAGTACCTGTCTCAGAATGAACTGTTAGATTGTTTTCATTCATTGGGAGATCAATTGGTCTATTTATGGAGCATATTCTTAAAATTTCACAGGTTTGATTCTTATCCTGAGATGTGTAATTCTTTAAATTTTGTGTTTGAATCTGATTCATGTTTTAACTATATTTTTACTTTCATCCTCTATATTATTTTAACAATTTTAATACAAGTTTAATCATAATTTGATTTGATTAATAGGTGTGATTTTTTTTTTCTCAAGGTATTTCAACTAACATGAGTATATAACTTGGTTTGAGACTGTTAAGTAGATTAAACAGTTTGAAGGGTTGCTAAATGATATCATGAACCTTTGTTTCCTTCAGTTGGGCATATCTTCAATAGTTGGTTTGAGAGGATAATTCCACATGAATACTTGGAAAAATAAATCCACATTCAGGATTGCATGCGCCTGCATGCAGATAACAAGTAATTGGTCCAATTTACTGCCTGAGAATTATAAGTTGTGGTCTCTGCATGTCTCTCATTCAAATGTGTATCATGATTCATGAAATTTTACCTTACCTTGTTTAATAAGCTGGCATTTACACCTTCCTAGGGATAACAAGACAAAGATTATAGAATTTTTACGAGATGCATGGGCTAAGAATCGGAAAGCTGAATGGTCAATATGGATGTTGTATTCTAAGGTAGAGATGCCTCATCATTATATAAACAGTGAGAGTGATAAGTCTTCCCATCATGGTGTGCACAGAAGAGTTTCCAGTTTATGGAAGTTACCTGATGAAGTAAGTGCTTGTATGTTCTCTCATACTCTCAGTATCATGCAATTTTCTTTGAGAAAAGGAACATGGGGAAAATAAACCGTTTTGATGCAATAGACTTAAATTTTGTCTCATAAATCATACAGCCTTTTCAGACTGCAGCTACACGTGCTGAGCTTCATAGAAAGAGCATTGAACAAATGCGGGTAAGCTATCAACTTGAATATGTGACATTTGTGTGTAGGATATTGATGAAATTTTGATAACTGTTTTTACAGATTAACAACCGTTCAATTCAAGACATGCAGATATTTGGAGATCCTTTGCGTACACCAATTGTGATTGTTGAACATGTGTTGAATGTACCACGACGTTGTCCAAGTGACAATTCATTCCTGAGACACAGGGGACGTGTACATTCAGATAGCTTACCAATTGGCATCAGCGCTGATACTATAGGCAAGAAATCTGCACCACCAAGTAGTGCTCGTGTGTTGAAGATTGTTGTCTTTGTGCATGGGTTTCAGGCATGTCTTGTGGATTTTATTGCAAAACCATACTTGCTTTTTATTGTAGGACTTTAGTTTGTCAGGTTTTTTTTGGTGGTGGTGGGGGGAAGTATGTTAGGATTAACCACCTATTTTAAAGAGTTAGTGGAAAGTCATATATCTTTGAACTGTTTTATTTTATTTTATTTTTTGGTGTTGAAATCATGTTAGGTTTAGCCACCTATTTTGGAGAGTCAGTGGCAAGTCATATACTTTTGAACTATTGTAGCCTTGACTAAATGGACTATCCAGGCCTAACTTATGAAATCAGGCTAAAAAGGACCAGTTAGGTTAGGTTGCCTAGCTTTTAATCAAGCTTGCAATCTGAAAATCTTAATCTGGTTTTAAATGGTTGGTGGGTTAACCTAATTAATTATTAAAAATTTCAGAAAATAGCCTTGGGTCTGTTTAGACCTTGAGTTAAACAAAGTGAAAATCCTTACCCATTTAAAGCTTGAAGTTAAACAAGGCCTATCCCATTCTCGTTATCTGATTTTTTTGTCTAGTCCATTACCAGCTAAAATTGTGCCTCATGGCAAGATTTCAAATATGGATCAAATAAATGAGTTAGTAATACTACACAGTTCACATAAATTGACAATTAGCATTATTCTTGTTATAAAATATTAAGATATATTTAGATTATGTTAGAAAATTTTGTAGACATACTATTTATTTTTTAAATTTAATAAATTTTAATTTTATTGTTAGTGAATTTAGACATACTAATAAAATCACTACTTAATCTAATTAGTAATTCAAATAGAGTATCAGATTAAAGTATTATTCACTGTTAAATCTTATTAATAATTTATTTCAGTTTACTATGATCAACCGTCTTCTAGTTCCTTTTTCCCAAAACCTAAAATTATAATTCTTTAACAAGATATTAGACCAGTTACTAGTAGTTTATTTCTCCATACCTTAATCTTCAGTTCAAAGGGGTTGCCAATGACCGGAGTTCTGGCGATGTCTGTGGATCATTTTGGTATGAATTAATCATGTTTGGATGTGATTTTGTGCTCTTCTGTGTTGTTGGTGGTCCTTTCCCTTCTTTTTAGTTTGACCTTGTTGGCTGTTAAGGGGAGTTTTTTTTGGCTTCTGGTTTGTGGCTGACTTATCTTGTGGTCTGTGAGAATAGTTGATAACTTCTCTGATGTGTATGACGTTTCACAGGGGAGATTCTATGTTCTTCTGTCTTATAATTAGTGAGTTCATGGATTTGAATTTGGTCGAATTAAAGACTTTGAACCAATGATGGTGGCTGTTTTGTATTTGCTTAATTCTGCTGAAAGGTTATGTTCTTGTTTATCTTATGCACTTTTTCTCTGGAATTTGGTGGATCACAATAGCTTTTCTACTATTGGTAGAATCTAGATTGGCTGCCTGACTTATCCTCTTATTGGATATGTTTCCTCATTTCTTCTCTTCTACTTATTTCATTGCTTTGCTTTCTGTTCTGTTATTACTGTGTGCTCTTATTTTCGTGGTTATTATTGGGAGTCAACTTCTTCACGCATTTTATTGTGCTTGACCTTGGAGGAAAGGCTTTAGTTGTCTAAGTGAGAGGCAAGGAGCTGCCTCCAGTGATGCTAGAACAAAGTGTTGTCCTGTTAGATAGAACTGCTCCTAGGTAGTCGGCCTATCCTATGAGAAAAGGGCTATTGGTGAGGTAAAGGGAACTTAGATTGACATTTTTAGCTTGTAAGTTGCAGCCGTGGATGTTGTAAGTTTGAAAAAGAGTTATTGCAGCTTTTTTGTGATTTTGGCCAGCCAGAAAGAGTTCGTTGCAGGTTTGGGAATAGGAGTTTCTTAGTTTCTTCCTGGAAATTAGGGGGTCCAATGTTGCTTCTCTCTCCTTTTTCCTCCATGCTGTGCGCAGATGGTTGACGAATTGTTATTGTATTGACTTCTTGTCTTAATGACCACTTTCTGTTAAAATTGTTTGTAGTTTCTTCTCTTCTTTTCTGTTTGGCTTTTTGGATCTGTCCTAAGTTTCAGATGAAGGTTGCTGCTGAGTTCTGTAAATTGAAGATCTAGTTATTCGGGCTGCCAATGTTCCTGAGCAGGATTGGCCACAGTTCTTTGTCTTATGTTAGTGAGTTTACTACATGAGAGTAAACTCTAACATAATCAAGTTTATCAGATATATTTTATATAGCATTTTAAATTTTAAACCATAAAATACAGAATTATTTAAGATAATGAACGACTTTTGGTCATCTTCAGATGATTGAATTAACTTAGGTAATTTCTACTGTGCCTTGTAAATTAAAAGAGCAAAGAATGTCCTTTCACACATAAAATAATTATCACCCTAATTTTATATTAAGATGCTTGATATGGTACCGTAAACTTAAAAGGACATTTTATAACTTCATTCAAAAAAATAATTAGACACATGCCATGCTACCTTTTGATTTATCTCTTGGGAAAATAAAATGCAACAGTGGTTAGTTGCCATTGTTTACAGTTATAAACAAATGCATGAAAAAAATGTAAAATTCAAAATATGAATTCTGTTTTTCACCCAAGTATACCGAAGTTAGTGATCACCAATTTGTTTTTGTGGCCTAGTTGAGTTGACACAAGCTAAGACTGGATGGAACAATGCATTGCTGTTTGGAAATGCTTGACTTGTTTAGTCTGTTGAAAAAATGTTAAAATTGAAAGCATAGGTGCAGTAGATCATTAGACAGAAGACGTATCACTCTCATTTGAAAGCTGCATCCAGATTGCAGAGCGATATTGATGTTCAGTCTTTGATTAAAAAGTTGATTCAATGCTTATTCTTCGTCATTTAAAATGTTTCAGGGGCATCATCTAGATCTAAGACTTGTCCGTAATCAGTGGCTTTTGATAGATCCCAAAGCAGAAATTCTTATGTCAGAAGCTAACGAAGATAAAACAACCGGAGACTTCAGAGAAATGGGACATAGGCTAGCCCAAGAAGTTATTTCTTTTGTTAAAAGCAAAATGGATAAAGTATCACGATTTGGGAATTTGGGAGATATTAGGCTAAGTTTTGTCGGACATTCTATTGGCAACCTCATTATAAGAGCAGCGATAGCAGGTGGGTCATAATAACAGAAGCAATGTCGGCATCAGGATTTCCTGTATTTTTTGCGCCAACTGCAGCCTGCAGTTAGTGCATTTTTGTATTTTTACTTAAGCAAAAATGTAAAAATGCACTAATTGCAAGGTGCAGTTACTGCAGAAGATCCTGGCCCAACAATGACGTTCGTCCGTTTGACATTCGGTGCTAAGTTTTGTCCTTTGTTTGCAGATAGCATGATGGAGCCATTTCTAAGATACCTGCATACATATGTTTCAGTATCTGGTCCACACTTGGGGTATCTTTATAGTTCAAACTCATTGTTTAATTCAGGATTGTGGTTTATGAAGAAGCTGAAAGGCTCGCAGTGCATTCATCAGCTCACTTTCACGGATGATCCAGATTTCCAAAATACATTCCTCTATAAACTATGTAAGGTAGGGGAGGGTGTCCTACAAAGATTCGGATAAACAGAGACATGCATGAGCTCAAAGTTTTGCTTTCTTGAATAACTTATTGTGAGATGTGATTTTTACCAATCATTCATTCCAAGGCTGTTTTCGTGCAGCCTCAAAAGGAGTTATCACAATTGACATGAAAAATTTTCTCTTTAAAAAGAAATGCTATCAATACATTCTCGATCAATAAATGGGTCTTACTTTTAATTAATAATTTCTTGTTCATATTTTTGTAGTTTTTAATAAATTTTAATTACTTAGAAATAATGTATTCCTTTCGTTGAATTTCTCTTTGAAAGAATGGAGCATTAAACCTGTTCTTTTATGGAGGAGATCATGGAAACAGATTTGGTAAAATAAAACAAACAGACCAAATTGTCATATGCACTTACTATTTTATTCTGCATGCCAATTTTGATGTCAAATTGGAGTTATTGAATATGAACTCTTTTTTCAAGCAAAATTCCTTTTGTATTTGAAAATATCTTCTCATAAGAAATCTTGATGTAATTTTCAAAATCTCTGGCATGCTTGATTTACATTTTGAATTCTTCAAGGTAGTGCTTTTTGGATAAATGCATTCTATATAAAGTGTCTTCAATGGTTTAATTTTTATTCCATCTTTTTTTGTTCCATGTGAATGCACTGCATTTCTGGGGAGAAAAATGAATAGGACCCCTTAGGCCTGTATTTTTTACAAATGTTTCAATGGTTACTGTGTGTTAGTGCATAATGGCTATTTTTGGTATGAATAGTTCAACTAAATTAATGGTAAGGATAATACAAGGCGAGAGGATGGTAGCAAAGATGAATTGGTTAATAAAAAATGGACAAAAGTGGTTAATAAGATTTATCCCTAAGTTGAGGGAAGTTAATTCCTGAAATTGAAAACTGAGGTAAACCCCAAACTTGAAAAGTGTACTATACGCTTCTCCCCCGAAGGCATGAATCATTTATATATTATATTGAATTATTTACTTTGACGAGATTCTAATATAGTTGCTTCCTTTTTCTCCTCGCCCCACTCTTTTCAGCAGAAGACCTTGGAACATTTTAGGAATATTATCCTGATATCTTCGCCTCAGGTATTGTCTTCTCTTCTTGATTCATAAAATCACTTTAGGAATGTTATTATTTACTGTTACTCTTTATCAGCTGTTGGGTTGTTATGCATTAGCTCTCCATGAGTGTAATTTGGGTCTGTATGAAGTACGAACTTATTTATGAATCGTAAAACATTAATTTGCATGTGAAGAATGCTCTTCTAGCACATAATAATGTAAATTTTACAGTCTTGTGTTCTTTGTGCAACTAAATCCAAACTGCATACAAAGAAGCTTTCGAAATTCTTCATTTTGTTAGCATTACATTACATTGACAGATGAACTTGATTGTCTTAAAAAGTTCTAAGATTATCTTTCCTGATTAAATCCAATGCGTTGTTAAAAATTTTAAGGTAGAGTATGGAATTGGCAATGCATTACTCTGAAGGAAGTGAAAGTTCCTTCCCATTTAACGAGTGAAAGTTTGCTTTTAAAATTTCTTGGTTTGGTGTTAACTGATACGGCATTTTTCAGGATCGTTATGTGCCTTACCATTCTGCAAGAATTGAATCTTGCCATGCTGCTTCACATGACACTTCAAAGAAGGGTAAACTATTCCTAGAGTTGCTGAATGATTGTTTAGACCAAATCCGTGCCAACTCCACAGAACTTCGAGTTTTCATGCGCTGCGATGTCAACTTTGATGTCTCGACCCATGGCAAGAATCTGGACTCTTTTATTGGGCGGGCTGCACATATTGAATTTCTGGATTCTGACATTTTCGCCAAGTTCATAATGTGGTCGTTCCCAGATCTGTTTCGATAGCAATGCTCTCTGCATTCAATTGTTCTAATGCCTTAAGGCGTAACCTCTCACCCATGTTTTAGCTTCATAGAAAGAGTGGCAGGGCATTCAAAGAATGGGTTGACAGACTTAGTTGTATATTTATTTGCCTCAGAGATGTTTATTTTGAAATACAGTTATGTGCATAGCTTTAGGAAGGGTCAAGCTAACGTGATGTAATTATTTTAGATCATTGATTGAGAATAATTTAGGAGAAATATTTTAGTATAAAAAAAACCTCTCTCAAAAAATTAAATTATTTATTTAAAATAAGCTCAACCCACACTCAAACACTAAATTTTCTTAATCAACTATTTAATCATTTGATATTATACTCATAAATATACATGTTAAATTTTAAATAAATTGAATATCCATGGTATGTAATTTTATAACTAATATTTGTTTATATTTTAAAAAGTATATTGTATTTTAAGATAAAATTATTTGTTGAAGTATTAAATATTTTTTAAATTTTATAAAGTTAATTTGTTTATTAATTTTTTTAAAATTAATGATTAAATTAATAAAATTTATTGTCTATAAAAACTATTAAACAAAGCTAATTATTGAGGCTTAATAATTCATTGGTTACAATTACATGAATAGGGTTTACATCAGGAATGTTATGCAATAAGAAATTGCGCTAAAATCTATAGTCATTTTAAAATTTAGAGTATTTCTTCCTATATTCTTTTCTCTTAAAAAAAATGTTAAATGCTTGATCTTAGGCAAATTTTATCTTTGATGTTAGTGATGTAAATACTAACTACGTTAAGGAATAATTTATTTAACGACTTTATCAAACCTACCTTTTGATGATTTTAAGTTTTTGGGATGATTTATTTTAAATTTTAGTAGAAAAATTTAAAAATAATGTTGTCTTTAATATTGGTATTTTGAAAGTAAAGTGAGTGCGTTAATTTTTTTGGATAACTTTTTTTTTTTCAAATCCTTTATGAGTTGTAAAATGAGTTGAAAGAAAAGAGAGAAAATGAGATATATAATGAATGATATGATTAAAAAATATATAAAATTAATAATAAAAAAAAAGGTACGTGTGTAAAATTAAATCTATTTTTTTAGTTGATAGAATAAAATTATTTATTTATAATTTATATGCTGCATATTTATTTTATCAAATAAATTATTATTTGTGTATGTTAATTGAGTATGATGTTATCAACTAATCTCTAATTAATTTATTGATTTGCAACTATCAAGAACAAGAAATATCTTACCGCTTGTTAGTTTAAAATTTTTAAAATTGCATAAAATATATTTCTGAGATTTTATGAAATATAAAAATTATTTTTTCTTTACTCATAATTATAAAATGTAATGTTTATTTTAAAAATATTTATAATTTCAGTGTTTTTGGGAGTTCAAAAAAGTTTCTTAAATTAGTAAAAAAAATTAACATCTTTAAATTTATTTTTAAAAAACTTAAACAACACACTAATTTATTTTTTTTTATAAATGCAAGGAAAAAAAAAAAACAGCTTTCAGCTAGATAGAGTTTTTTTGGTTATAACTTTGGGAATTGGGATCTTTATCCAAATCGTTTGTTCTCATCCAATCCAAAACCAACGCTGTAAAATTTGTTTATAAATAATTACAAAGCAACAACTTCCTCTTAGTTCAGCATTGCAGCGACTGTTGCGTTGTGTTGTTGATCGCTCCAATGGCGGAACTTTCTCTCCCTCAAAACTCCTACTTTATCGGATTCGACAGTTCTACCCAGTAAGTTTTGCGACCCACAATTGCATCGCCATTTTCCGTTTCTTCATTTGATGTAATTTGAATTGACGTTTCAATTTTTATTCCTTTGAAGGTCGTTAAAGGCCACAGTTTTGGACTCCAACCTCAAAATCGCTGCTTCAGAGTTTGTTCATTTCGATTCTGACTTGCCCCATTACAAGACCAAAGATGGGGTATACAGAGACCCCTCTGGCAATGGCAGAATTGTGTCACCCACGTTGATGTGGGTGGAAGCTCTTGACCTTATATTTCAGAAACTTTCCAAATCAAATTTTGATTTTGCTAAGGTTGTTGCTGTTTCTGGTAGTGGACAACAACATGGTAGTGTCTATTGGAAGAGTGGTAGTTCTCAGATATTATCATCATTGGATCCTAATAAGCCATTGTTGGATCAGCTTCAAAATGCTTTTTCCATTGAGGAATCCCCAATTTGGATGGATTGTAGCACCACTTCTCAATGTAGGGAGATAGAGAAGGCTTGTGGTGGAGCCTTGGAGTTGGCCCGAGTCACGGGTTCTCGAGCTTATGAGAGATTTACTGGCCCTCAGATTAAGAAAATATTTGATACTCAGCCAGAAATTTATAACAACACCGAAAGGATCTCACTTGTTAGCTCCTTCATGGCATCTCTTTTCATTGGTGCTTATGCTGCCATTGATCATTCTGACGGTGGAGGCATGAATTTAATGGATATAAAGAAAAAGACCTGGTCTAAAGTTGCACTTGAGGTTTTTAATCCTATTAACTTCTCTTTTTGTCTTGACTCTTGTTGAATTGGTTTTTGATGCACCTCCAAGTGTAGCTGTGGGTTTATTGATTAATATTCTTGAGTTTCCTGTTCAACCAATGTATGTCAATCCTATTGGTTGTTGCAGGCAACTGCCCCTGGTTTGGAGTCAAAACTTGGAGAGTTAGCCCCAGCATATGCGGTTGCTGGAAATATTGCGTCGTATTTTGTAGAGAGGTTTGCTGCAAATTTTTATGGCTTATTTCTCTTTTGAAATGCAAGTGAAATTAAGACAGTTTTTTACATAGTGATATACTATATGCTTGCCATCAATTTCCAATGATTTTTTTGGTAGTTCATCAACTAGTTTCATGACAAGTTGAAACTCAATTGACATACTAACAATAGAACCTAGACTGTTCATGCCCAATATTATCTGCTGGAGTTAGTGCTTAATTGTTTGATGGAAATTGCTTTACTTGAAATTTGGAACAGTTACTCCTGGATACATTGTCAATTAAATATTTGTCACTCACATAATTGCCATAATTGCCAATCAAATGTAACCTAATCTAATTATCTTCTAAATGGTGTAACTTAGATATAATTTTTGGTAAAATGAAATTTTGTACGATCTTCATTTTTTCCTTAGACAAATGTCATAGTATAAGGATATAAAATTTTTCCACAAGCACTTGCTGGCCAAAACGGTCTATTTTTTCTTATGACATAAATTCCTATATAAAAATACTATGGTTCTTGATCTACTTATCTGGTGCATGAGCTACTTCAAAATATTTAGCTTGACGAATGAATTTTATTTTTTGTTTTAGGTATCACTTTAACAAGAATTGCTTGGTTGTTCAGTGGTCAGGAGACAATCCTAATAGTGTGGCAGGTGCCATAATTTATTCATTAACATTTTCTGCCATTTATCTTTGATTTTGTATATTCTTTCCGGTGGGATTTAATTATACACTTTGTCAAAGTTCAAATGATGAAAATCAACCCCCTGCCCCCAACCTTCCGAGGAAAATGGAAAACCCAAACCCTAATTCCTTTTGGTGCTGTCATTTTCATCTGAAAAATATCCTTATTTAATATTTTTTTTCTGTGCTCATAAAATTTAACCATTTTGGATCTGCAGGTTTGACCCTTAATATTCCTGGAGATCTTGCCATCAGCCTTGGCACTAGTGACACTGTAAGTTAAGCTACCGTGTGTTAAGTAACCTTTATTGGTCTGTCCACATTTCATTGTGAAAAACTCAGAAATGACAGCAGCTGCATATGTTGCCAATGGAAGAATACTGACTATTTTATAATTTAATCCCATTATATGTCATCCATACTAGTATCAAAGCTATATTTTTAAAAGATGTGAATTAACACCTTCAGTTTTAGTTGTAATTCATTCTGGCTCATCTCTCAGGTATTTATGATAACTAAAGATCCTAATCCAGGATTGGAGGGACATGTCTTTCCTAGTCCAGTTGATGCAGAAGGTTACATGGTAATGTTGGTATACAAAAATGGGTCTCTTATGCGAGAAGGTAATGTTGTTTTTCTCTTGTCTACTACATGTATTGTTTGTTATAAATGGTTCTTGTAGTTTCTTATTTTCAATCCTATTTCAAATGTCAGATGTGCGCAACCGATATGCAGAGAAATCTTGGGACGTTTTCAATAAATTTCTGCAGCAAACACAACCTTTAAATGGTGGGTATCACAAACCCCTCTCCTATGTTGTCCACACTCATTTCTCACAATGTTTTATTTGTTAATAGATGGGAAGTTAGGTTTCTACTACAAGGAGCATGAAATTCTACCTCCTCTTCCAGGTGGCTGTTTAACTTTTCCACCAACAAAGTATTTGTACTAAATAAAAAGTTGAGTTTGCCTCAAGAAGTTACTAACAAAATTTTAATGGATCCAGTTGGTTTCCACCGCTATGTTATAGAAAATTTCTCGAACACACTTGAAGGACTGAAGGAACAGGAAGTGGAGGAGTTTGATCCTCCATCTGAGGTTAGGAAATACATGCAATTTCTAGGGGTAATTGAAATCCCAAATAAAAAAGCATTTCTATTGAGCAATAAGTTGAATTACAGGTACGAGCATTAATTGAGGGTCAATTTCTCTCTATGCGGGCTCATGCTGAAAGATTTGGTATGCCTTCTCCTCCAAAGAGAATTATAGCCACTGGTGGAGCATCAGCAAATCATTGCATCCTCAGTGCTATAGCTTCAATTTTTGGCTGTCATGTGTATACAGTTCAAAGACCAGGTAAGCAAAAATTGACAACCTCAGCATAAGACACTATGAATCATGTGGAAGTTTGTTTGACCCAGATTAAGATCCTTTCATGTGGAAACTTCACTGCAGATATGTGCAGTGTTTAATCTGGCCTTTAAAATTTATTAAAATTTTTATTTAATAAAATTTTATACTATAATAATATATATTTGATAGTTGGGATTTAATACGGTGAAAATGTCACTGCAGATGATCTCTTTCCTGTTTGACCCACTTATATACATGGTACTGTGTTACATTTAGATACCTGTGAATTCAGTCTTTTCCTTTTATAGATTCCTATGATAAATATATGAATAAAAAATTTATGCGTAAATGAGTTTGACCTTCAGTGAAACAAGGTAGCTAGTGTTTTTCCTCTTCTCTAAATACATTTATATGCATATTTCCACTGTAACTATTTTCATTTACAAAATGACAAATTTGTGTTATGCTTGTTTGCAAGTGATAAACTCAACTAATCAAATAAAAAAAATTCAACCTGATAACAGATTCAGCTTCACTTGGAGCTGCATTAAGAGCTGCTCATGGTTTGCTATGCAACAAGAAGGGTGGTTTTTTACCCATATCTGATATGTACATGGACAAATTGGAGAAAACATCTCTGAGCTGCAAACTTTCAGTGAATGCTGGAGATCAGGAGCTGGTTTCCAAGTATGCTTCTTTCATGAAAAAGAGAATTGAGATAGAGAATCGTCTTGTCCAAAAGATTGGACGCTGTTGAAATTTTTAACTTTTTGCTGGATACGTTGATAAATTAGCTGTGAATAGAATAAAGTGGTAATAAATGTTAAAGCGTTACTTTCAAGTTATAATAAAAAATTCACCAAAGTGTTTGATTTGTGATAGCTACAAGGGACAAATCAATGTCACATGCCCTCCTACAATTTTTTATCATAGTAATGTGATTTGCCATATTTACCTTAATGATGTTTTTTTTAACTATGCCCCATCTCATCAACGAATGAGTAAATTTCAATTTTTGATCTGTGGATGCTCACTAACCGACAATATACAAGCCAAAACGATAATAGTTGTCACGCATATGCAAAAACCTTAAATGCATCCTCTGTTTGAGCTCTCTTAGGTGCAGAAGTGCGTTGGATTTATTTGACCAGCTTCACTCTTAGAAAATAATGTGTTTAGATTCCAGCTAAAATGACATGTACACATTTTCTAAGTACTTCTGATTGCATCTGAAAAACCCACGTTAACTACTTTAAATGCCGAACCAAACATGCCATTATTAATGCGCATAACACCGTAACCCATGATTGATACCTAAATATACGTAGCCCCTAAATTAGAAAAAGTTGCATCATTATTATGAGTTATAATTTCGACCATAATGATGAGCGCTTGTGATCTAACGTGATATTCTTTCACGCTTCTTTTCGTGCATGTTGCATTATTCTCTCCATCAATAAAAGAGAAAGATGAAACGGTGTATCAATTAATATATGTATCATTTTTACTCGTCAATAGCTGACCTGCCCGGGCTCATGAAGCAAACATTTCTGTGTACAGTGCTTACTCATTTCTCTCTACATAAAAGGATTTTGCTAACGGCCTCAATAATCAATTTTTAGATAATAAACGCTAATAGTTTTAAAATAATTTTTTTATTTAATAATTTTTTACCTTTAAAACACTAGTTAGGAACACATTTTCATATATTATTGTATTATATAAAAGGGTGTGCTAAAAATTAAGTTACATGAGGTGATTATAAAACGTCAGCGATTACATTACAAAAGTTTTTCTTTAAAGTCGTTCACTTTTTAAAGACTAAAATGAAAACATTTTCTAAGAATCAGAAACTAAATTAGGAATTGTGTAAAATTTGAAGTTTCACAATTTGAGATTAAAATGGAGGTTAATTGGGTGAAATCTGGCTTGATCTAAGCAATAGAAAAAGTATTTGTAGTTAAGATTATGACATGTGAGAGTCGCCCCCGTACCTAAATGTCACTGTCGATTAAAGTATTTTCAGATTTGATGCATCTACGCCAAGTATAATTAAACTACCATTAAAGGATAAGAAAATAAAAAATATATAAACGAAGTTAATTAAAATTTCAAATTGTCACAAAATAATTACATCATATGTAAATTAAGAAACTGAAAAACAAATGTGGCATACAATAAAAATATTTAAAGAGTATAGTATAAATATAGATAAAAATATATTATTATTTAATAAAAATAATAATTTCTATATGTTACTTTATTATTTAAAAATAAACTTGATTTGATTAAAATTGTTTTTAATTGAATTAACAGAATTTTAAAAAAATGAAAACTAGAAACAAGTGAACTAATTTTTCATTAGTGAGAGACTGTTCATTTATTTTTATGGAGAACTCCATTCAAATTTTTAAACCATATCTTTACCGTTCTTTTGAAAAGGTAAAAAAAGTTTAAAAAAGAAAACTTCAAATGACAATTTATATTACATTTTATATTAAAAATATCTTTACCGTTCTTTTGAAAAATTTATATTATATTTTATTTATAAAAAAAACTGTTTAAACATGTAATAAAAAGAAATGACAATGTCCAAAATACTTTCAAATCCTTTGAAATAAGAGAGAGATTAAACTTTGCAGTAGCGACATAAAAAAAACCAATATAGATTAAACTTATGTGCTCAAAAGAGCACAAACATCGATTCACATTTCACAAGCAATATCCATAAAGCACAGATAAAATTCTGATCCAGAAGAAAACGAGAAGTTACATGAGAAAAACATGACATTGCACATTAACATTCCATTCTAATAATCATCTTCTCCTTCAACATCCTCTCCATCACCAGACTCAGCACCAACTTCCTCATAATCCTTCTCCAGAGCAGCAAGGTCCTCACGAGCTTCTGAGAACTCACCCTCTTCCATGCCCTCACCCACATACCAGTGCACGAAAGCCCTCTTGGCATACATGAGATCAAATTTATGATCAATCCTCGAGAACACTTCAGCAACACTAGTAGAGTTAGAGATCATGCACACAGCCCTCTGAACCTTGGCAAGATCACCTCCAGGAACAACAGTTGGAGGCTGATAATTGATACCACACTTGAACCCAGTTGGGCACCAATCCACAAACTGGATAGTTCGCTTGGTCTTGATGGTGGCCACAGCAGCATTCACATCCTTGGGCACAACATCACCCCTATACATCAAACAACAAGCCATGTACTTGCCATGACGAGGGTCACATTTTGCCATCATTGAGGAAGGTTCAAAAGCACTGTTGGTAATCTCAGCCACAGAAAGCTGCTCATGGTAGGCTTTCTCGGCAGAGATCACAGGGGCATAAGAGGAAAGCATAAAATGAATCCTTGGGTAAGGAACCAAGTTGGTTTGGAACTCGGTCACATCAACATTCAGTGCTCCATCGAACCTCAAAGAGGCAGTGAGGGATGAAATCACCTGCAAATTTCAAATTGTATTAATCCAACAAAAACAAAAATATATGTTGTAATACACATTGAAGTAAACATAGATCCATCATCATTTAAACTGATACCAAACACTCAAATTAAAATTCAAATGTCCACATGAAAATATTTAAAATTTTGTACCTGGGAGACGAGGCGATTAAGGTTAGTGTAAGTGGGTCGTTCAATGTCGAGGGAGCGCCTGCAAATGTCGTAGATGGCTTCATTGTCGAGGAGCACGGCTACATCGGTGTGTTCGAGAAGAGAATGGGTTGAAAGGACACTGTTATAGGGTTCAACAACAGAGGTTGAAACTTGAGGTGAGGGATAAACGGTGAAACCGAGCTTTGACTTTTTACCGTAGTCAACGGAGAGACGCTCCAACAGAAGCGAACCCAATCCAGAACCGGTTCCGCCCCCTACAGCATTGAACACCAAGAAACCTTGGAGACCAGTGCAGTTATCGGCGAGCTTTCTGATCCTGTCGAGGCAAAGATCAACGATCTCTTTGCCAATGGTGTAATGTCCACGCGCGAAGTTGTTGGCAGCGTCTTCCTTGCCGCTGATGAGTTGCTCCGGGTGGAAGAGTTGGCGGTACGCGCCGGTTCGGACCTCGTCGATGACGGTGGGTTCAAGATCCACGAAGACGGCGCGGGGAACGTGTTTTCCAGCGCCGGTTTCGCTAAAGAACGTGTTGAAGGCATCATCTCCTCCACCAACGGTCTTGTCACTTGGCATTTGTCCATCGGGCTGTAAATTTATTTAAAAAAAAAAAAAACGAAGGCATTAAATATTCAGAAACAATAAACAAATGAACAACGTTGTGAAATCATCATTAAAAACCCTAATCGTTCGATTTTGTACCTGAATGCCGTGCTCCAAGCAATAGAGTTCCCAGCAGGCATTTCCAACTTGGATACCGGCCTGACCAATGTGGATTGAAATGCACTCTCTCATTTTCTCGGCGAAATTGAGAAAACAAAAACCTTAGAAAATGGGATTAAGAGGACGAAATGTTTGGGCGGCGTTTATTAAGACGCCTTCTCCCTTTGGATTGTGAGTATAAGAGGGTGGATTTGGGTTGTTATATAGAGAGAAAGGGGGCTAAATTTGAAATGAACGGTTACGAATGAACTAGGGTTAGTTTACAATTACTAACCCTGGTTTGACAACTACGATTGGAATTGAAAAGGGGTTTTGATTTTTGAATGTTACGTTTATGGCCCACTTTCCCAGCCTGGCTTTTCCCACTTCTAACCGTTCACCCTTTTTCAAATTTGATTTCATTCCACTATCCCCCAAATTCCAGCCATCAACACCAAAGCGTTCTCATTTTCCTTATTTCAGTTTTTTTATATATTTATATTTTGTTGTTTCTAATTTTGTAAATGTTTTTTTAATGTATAATATGTGTAATAGTTGCGTATAATTTTTTTTTTTTACAATCATAATTTTTGTGACAATAAAATTTAATATACTTTTAATGAGTTAAGATATGTTGACATTAAATGTCAAATTTAGATACTTAATGCATTTAAGCTAACAGCATACGATGCATATTAGTTTTAAGTTATTTGAATTGGAAAATGTCACACAAAGTTTAACCCTAAACCAAAAGTAACACATCTTTATCGAGTTTTTACTAACTGTCATCAACTGGGCAGAATGTATGGGGTTTTTGTGTCAATAGGAAAGATAAGGATATGGCCATGGTAGTTAATGGGCCCAGATTTAGGTGACATGCTATATCATCAACTGTTGGACTATCAACGTTCAGTAGATCCTACATTTCTATTGCGGACCCCAAGTTTTTTCAGTTTTACCCATAAAATAAAATCCACTTTCTAAAAGAAAAAAAAAATTGGATCTATTTCGTACGAATTATTTGGATATATTTCGTCATTTCATATGTTAAGTTTGTTTTATTACATTCCAATTATAATTATTCTTCATCTTTAATTTGAAAAGGATTCAGTATAATCAGGATAAAGAATGAAAGAATCCAACGGGGCAACTACTTCCACGTTACCAAATATGGTTTTTTCCGAATCTTAAGTTAGTGTAGAAAACAATAAGGTGTCATGGTAACGATAGACAAAGTTCAACTAATGTTGGGAATAATAAAGCTAGCATATTTGTTAGATGTATCAACTACAATAATTAGCTAACAAAAGAACAGAAATTAAAAAAAAATTATTAAAACTTTGCTGAGACAAAAAAGTGACAGCACACTTTGTAGCCTGTTGGGCCTACATCATATTCATAGGATTAAGACATTTTCAGTGCATCGTAGGCTCTGAATATGAAAACGATTTTAAAAAGGTATGATTCATTACCATTGCATGACAAACTTAAAATAGAAAAGGATGTAACAGGAAGCAAAGATAGAACTTAGGATCCAATACAAAAACCACAAAAAAAGGCCTTAAACCTAAAATTTGAAGAACTTTGGCATCCAATTTTATGGGACTGTGAATTAACCGGCCCATAATTGTGGATCCTAGCAACAACCACAGTAAAGGGCTTATGACATTGAATAAGAGCCATCATTACAACCACCATGAAGAAAAATTATGGGCTCACATGGACGGAGAAAATGAAAGCTTTCAACGTGACATTTAAATTCACAAGCAAATAATAGAATCCTGTTAAAAGAGAAAGAAACGTCAAGGGCACACCACTGGACGAGTAGCACTTAATGATAATATTACACAAACGGACTCACACATGTAGCATTGATTTCCATGTGGCTTCAACCTAGCAGGTGTTGGATATTTAAGCACAGTGCTTAGAAAACAATTAATTATAAGGTCAGATGAACGGCAAATTGGTTGTTTTTCTCAGTACCAAATGCATGTTGTGTTCGAGAAAAGTTGAGAAATTTTAATGGAACGTGGTAGGGGACAAAATAGTATCAATATAAACTATTGATTGGTAGGTGAGGAGGAGCATCAAATATCATATGCTTTGCCAAGATAAATAACCAAGAAAGGTGATTGAATAATAGAGAAAATTGATAGTACTAGATTTCCACGTGCACCAAAGACAGAAAAATTGGGGAACAAAAACACAGCTAATTATTTTGTTATGAATATGATAGATTACTTAGTGACGTATGACACTAGGAATTAGGGAAATTTTGAAACTACTTCGGTGAAAAAGAAACCTGCGGAGAATTCTCTTCAAAACCTTAATGGTCATAAACAGAAACAGAAGGATTCGACTGGCAGATTATGTTTGTTATCATGGTCTCAGCATATAAACAAATTAACACAAGGTAGCAGCAGCGGGAAAGTACAGAGGCCATCTTTCAAAAGAAGACAAGGCAAGCCTAGCAGCATCCATTTGAAGCTTTAAATCTTAAAAAGAAAAAATGATTTTCCGGCTTCAGTATAATAATGCTTACATCTTCAAAACATCCACTTAGCCAAGTTCATAACCCACTCACATACACACACACACACACACACACACACACACAAACACATCTTTTCTTGAAAAACAAAAGAAAAAATCATTTGAAAACTTAAGGGTGGTGGTATATACTATATAGTACACATGCACCAGCGTCATAAGACAATAACAGCACACTAACTTCGTAAACAAGGTGAAGGAGGAAGGAATCACTAAACAGCATGTAAAAAGATGGTAGTCAATTTATTATGGTAAGGATTAAAGACGAAATACTCGGAATGCAGTAGAAAATTTCAAAGTGAAAATTGAAGATTACAATGGAAAATTGGAAAGAGCTGCTTCCATGCCTTAACAGTCACAAAACAACCAACCCAGGCACCCACCAATCAACTCACCTAACATGTACCTAACTCAGAAGGACTAACACGAGGAGAAACAATTACTAAGGCAATGGTAAGTCAAGGACAAGTGAACTGTTACAGTGTGGTAAATAACTTAAATAATGACACGTTTCAATTAAGAAAATTAAAGAAGTAAAACAAAAGGAATAGGAAGGAATTTTAGGAGCACATGAAATAAAAATTGAAAACAAATCTAATTAGTCGTGTGAAATTTTACCCGATCTCCACAAATTCAGGAAGGTTCTTGTTTGACAATGATGTATAAGTGAGAAATTTATATATGAAAAGAATCGTAAAGCTATCCTACGGGTGTTCAAACATTAGACAAGATACATATTTATTATAAGAACAGGAGCTAATGTCAATTCCTGTGATTGACAATATGCATGCCACTATACTAAAACAGAAAACTACCACATGATGCAAATAATTGCTTCAAGAATAAATGGCTTATAGAATAGACTCAATAGAGCATGATGTATGACAGAACACAAACATATACAGGACTCAAGCTAATGCATTCGCAAAGAAGTACTAAGGAATGCGAAATTTGACTATAAATGAATTTAAAAGGTGAGTGAAAGTAATAGTAAATAGGTCATTCAAAAATGTTTGCAGATAAAGAAAGGTCTTTCTTTCTGTTTCTTTCTGAAGGCGTTGACCAAAACACTGTAGTCCAGCGATTCTTCTTCCAGATTTTTTAAGTTAAAAGGTTATTATGTTTATAAACTACAGAACAAGATGAGCATGCTCATTGCTCAATGCACTGTAAATCCTAATCAGACAAATTCACAAACAAGTCACAGAAACCAAGCAAGCCCCACTAGAGTCAAATCATGAGGCAACTGCTGCATCAGCGAACAAGCATAAAGGTTGGAACAGTGACAAAATATTTCAATTCCACAATGCTCCCTGACATTCTTGGACCACATTTTGATCAAATGATTTTCCCCTCTTCCCGTACACCATTTCCCACGGAACAACAGAAAAAAAAAAACAGTGACTTCTCATTCGCTCATTTTAACCTCAATGCCCACTCCAAATTTTAGAAACCCCCTTATTCGATTCAACATACCCAAAAGAAAAGGCCAACGCTTTTATGGAGAAAACATATTGAAAACACATAAGAAAGGATAATGAACAATTTAATCTATTAAAAGAATGGAGGAAATACATACATCATCATCATCACCGTGATCAAAAGTAAGGAAAAAGAGTACAACTTTAAGGATACACACATTATGCTGAAGTGAATAAACCATAAAAATCCTTGATACACTGTCTCTCCTTGGCATTCTAGTGTAGGATAACAAAAACCCATGATCGATGACGAGTCGTATGTTCCTCTTTCTCCCTTTAAATCTTAGGATACCCATAAAGAAAAAGGAAAACACAAAAATGACCCCCAAAAGAAAAAAAAAAAAAGTGTTGTTGCAGCAGCTTTTGATAAACCCCCAAAAAAAGAAACAAAATTTATATTTTGAGAAGAGAAAATATATATTATATATTATATATATAAATATGCTATGCCTGGCTCCATCCTGTCTGCCTTTTTGGACGCAATGGAAGGGATAAGGGAGAGACAGAGAGAGCTACATTGTACTGCTCATACTCATGCTCATGTCCGTGTCTCATCTGTGAAAGGAGGGAAAGGAGGTTGGATTTACAAAGGGAAGTTGAACAGGTACCTGTTTGGGAGAAAGGGCATAAGGGTCATTGCATGGTGTGGAAGAAGAAGAAGATGAAGAAGAGAAGAGAAGAAGCACCGTGGGATCCTCCTTCATGACACCCATTGCAGAATCAGAAAGTGGTAGCCAAGCCTTGCCTTGCCTTGCCCCTTTCACAAACTCTCGGGGATTTTAGAGAGAGAGAGTCCAAAATGGCAAATTTGATTGGTTGTAGTGGGAAGCTTATGCAAGCATTCAACTTTTTGGGTTTGGGGAAGGCCGGTGAAAGGCCATTTTCAACTTTCTCTTTGTTCCTCTTTCTGGTTATACTCACCGTTTTGTCTCTCCTATGCATTTTATTTCTTTCGAATATATATTATATTTATTTTTGGTCGTGTTGACAGTGGTTACGGTGTGTCTTGTTACTAACCCGGTTTTAATGTTTAATGTTTATGTTTTAGTTTACCCATTTGTATTTGCATCGGTGTTATAAAATAAGAGAGAGAAGAGAATAGGGAATAGCGTAAGGTGAAGGGCACTTTGGGGTTGCTCAGTACATCGTGGCTGTTTGGCTAT